AGAAAGGGACCCCTTATTGTAGACGGGATAGTTGGAAAATGTTGGCGTTCCTGTCGGTTGTGCGATCAGGGTCAGGGGAAGCGGGAGAATGCAGGGAGATATATCTCTCGTCCTATAGCTGTTTAGTCGAGCGGGTTTCCGTAAGGCAGAGGGAACGAAGGGCGCGAGGTGCTAGACGAGCCGAGTTAGCTTGTTTGATTTAGGAGGGGGCGGGCGGGCAGCGGGCGGGCAGCGGGCACTTTGGCTTAGGTCGAGCGTGGAACGTATGGTTAATTAAGGTGGCCGAAGCCGAATGGAAAAAAAGACAATGGAGGCTGTAGGAGGCGGACAAAAGATCACCAGGGCGAACGACGTACTTTGTAAGAAAAGGGGGGGCGCAAGAACTTGTGAAATTTGCGGAAAAGAAAGAAGGGAAGAGAAGAAAAAAAAACAGAAAGGAGAAGCGAGGTAAAGAAGGGAAACGGAAGGAGCCAAGGAAGAACTGGGACGAAAGCGACAGACGGACGCAGAAATGGAAAGAGCGTCGGGACCTACCAACAAAAGCAAGTGCGGTTTGGGGTTTGAAAGGCAGGAGCGAAAGACAGACGAAAAGAGGCAAGAGAAAGAGACAAGAGAAAGAGACAAGAGAAAGAGACAAAAGAAATAGACACGGCTCACCACGAGGCAAATGAAGCAAAAATGCACCGTCAGAATAAAATAAGAAATAATAAGTAAAAGTCGTAAAGACTTGCTACTGTATTCTGTACAGAACGGCTAGGATTGGACAGGGGCCATGCAGCAGAGACAAAAATGCAGGTCGGCTCCCAGGTGGAGGGTATGTCCTGCAGAAAAAGCAAGGTATGTGGAGCGAGACAAAACCAGCAGGCTCTGTGTCTGGCTGCAGGTTTCAATGCCGGGGAATATGAGAAAGGAGTGGCCGGGGGTTGACAGCAGGACACAAGCAGGACGGTGCTGCTGCGGCCAGAGGTGAGAGAAAGGGGATAAGGCGGGTGGAAGCCCCGGAAGGAGTAAAGAAAAGACGGAGGGAGAGGTGAGGCACGAGGTGAAGGCAGGAGGCAAAACCGACGGGGGAAAGGAGGCCACTGGCATAAGGGCATGAGACGCTCGAGGGCTAAAATGGGAACAAGATACGGGGCAACATGTAGACGAGGGAAAACGACTGAATGCCCTTTCCAAACGGCTCCCAAACGGCGACATGCCTTTTTCCTCTTGGTCTGAGGCGCCATGCAGGGGAAGCAGGACAGACGTTGAAGGTCGTGGCCCTGGCCGAAGTCGCCGCCGTTGCCGCTGCAGACCAGGCCTGTTTGGTTACTTTTGTCTGTATGTGGGGACGCTTCTTCATGCAAATCTTACTGTGGTACTTTTCGCTCTGTTTGGCTTGACCAGGAGCAAGGACGAGATGGAGGGGAGGACACCGTCTGGGTTTCAAGCGCCCGTGTCAGGTCGAGATACACAGCATTCCTGTTCGTACTGTCATTCCACTCTGGGAGGTGCGTGACAGCATCTTCCGAAGATCCAGAACAAACACGGACATTAAAGGTGTAATTACGTCGTATGTGTCGGGGCATTTGCAAAGGTGAATCGTTGTTTTGATATGTGCGTACGACGTATGGAGAAATAGCAATACGACGTACGATGCCTTGGGAGTCGGCTCACAATCGGCTCCTGCCCATATTGACATTGTCTATATTGTCTAGAAAGAAGGCGGGCTGCTCCATGCGCTTGGAAGTTCCTGCATTGCTCCTTCCTTTTCATGTTTACGTCGGGCTTCTACTTCCTTCTCCGTAATCAGTATGAGCCTGTATTCACCCACCGCTCTTTCTGTTCGCACCACAGCGCCGTACCTTCCTTGCCGCCATCCCAGCCAGGCCTTCGTCCCCCAAATCCAAACTGCGTCCCTTCGAGCGTGATCGAGCTAGACTAGCGGCTTTGTAACAGATGACGGATGACGAACAGGCGACGACAGGGGACAGACCGGGGCTATTAAATGCGTCTCCACAAGCTAGAAGAGTGGAAGATGTAAATCGTATATCGACGAGAAAAGGAGAGGCCGATGGCGTGTGCGAAAACGGTTGATATGGTAGCGGCAGGTGAGGAAGGCGCAAAGCAACGAGATATTGATTTAGGAAGGCAGGCGATGTGGGAGAACACAAACACGCCTCCCACAGGAAAGTACGCCGTATTGCACCGTAGTACACTGTATGACAACATACTGCTGTCGTGTTTTCCTTTCTGTGCAAACTCCCATCGTGCTTGCCCCCTCTGGCAGCGTGCATATCCACGCGTGCCTTCCCTCTGCATTTCGGCCCCTTGCAGCATCGCGGCTGCCAACATGAACAGGTGGAGTTGGATGACTCTGCATGTTGTGTAAGTCGACCGTCCGCGTATCAGCGACACTTGTTTGCCTCCACCTGATCTCTCCGCGTCCTTTGCAACCAACGTCTCTTCACATCGTGCCTGTCTCGCATTCTCTGTCTCCGAAATTGCTTCCTATTTGATGGTGCCTCATGGGAAAGTGACAGTACAATTAAGACCTTTGTGTCACCTGCACACCATCTCATAGCCAAGAAATATTTTCTTTTCTTTTTTCTTTCTCTTTACTTCCTGCGAGTTGCCTCCACCAAACGGCGCTGGCTCTCCGCTTTGCTGCCCGCCATCTTGCCGACGGTACTCCGAACGTCGCCCCTTTCCTGTCCCTCACATGTGTACTGTGCACACGTAAAGAAGCCAGAAGCCCAGTCTGGCTCCCTGCATCTTTACCCACACCACCTCCACTCTGTCTTTAATTGCCTCTGGGCCTTCTAGAATACTTCCCTGCATCCCACTGCAACCTCCAGGCCAACACCAGTCATACCGCAGCATGCGTCCCGTTGATGATACGGCGCCAAACGAGACACAACATGCCGTCTCATCCCGTCTTCCTGTGCCATTCCCAGAACGGAACGAGGCGAAAGCAGAAGAAAGATTGCCGTGGCGGGCTCACAAAATGAAAATGAGACTGCAGGCGGAAGAATCGCCGACAGAGTAAAGTGGAGGCCAAAAAAAAAAAAAAAAAAAAAAAAAACGAATAAAAACGAATGCTTGCTCTACAACTTGCTCATCCGTCTGAGGTGGCACTCTATTGGGCAGTAAGGCACTCATCCCTCCCATGTATTACTCGTTTCAACGCTTCTAGAAGAGTCTGTTCTCGCTTCTCCCCTTGCACGTTTCAGAGTTGTGTTTCTTTATTGATATTGCGCAGCTTTACTTTTTTGTCTTTATTAGTCGTCTTTTGCCACCCGTTTGATTACTTGTCTGCGTGGAAAAGGGGCTGCGCGTCAACGAATCCGACGACGCAAAGACAAGACCCAGAAAACTTTCCATTCTGCAGCGGCAGGACGCGCACCGCGTGCATGCGAGCACGGCGCAGGGGCCTCCACGCCAGCACTAGCCTGCGAAGCGAAAATAACAGTCTGTGTGGGTGCATGTAGGATATGGAGTACTGCATGCGTTTCCGTATTCTTGTCTTCTTGTCAGACACGTGTTAAACGCTTGTCAAGCAAGCTCTTCGACACAGATGGGGGGAGGGATAATAATAATAAAAAATACATAAAAAAAGACAGATCATGATATCGCTGGTGGTCCCGGCGTTGGCGGAGATTTGTTTGGTGGGTCTAGCCAAGGCGTTGTGAGCCGTGGGCTTCGTGATACCACGCAGTGCAAGCAATACAGAGTATTGCTCCGCAGCTTGAATTTCAATAACCAGCCCGTCGACCCATGCGCCCCCAATGCAACGATACGTGACAAAAAAGGAAACTTGCGGCGCATCATACCAGCTAGAAGCCGAGATATTGGGGGCGACAACGTGGAAAACGTGGAAAACGTGGAAAATGTGGAAAATGTGGCGATGGCAGCCAGGATGTGAGTACATAGTGCTCTTCCTGTACTCCGTCGTTGTACATCGCATGGATATCTCGTGTGTGTATTTGCCGCCTCGTCACGTTGTGGCACCCTCGCTGTCATATTGTTGTACGTCTCTCACATAAATGCACGTCGGGTCTCGCCGAGAGGCTATGGGATCCGTCCTTTTGTATCTTGTCTTGTGGATGCATTTTCTCTTCTCGTTTCGCCTTCTTGATGGCGTCTCCGGTGTCCTTTGGCCTACATCGACTACCGGTCGTGTCATGTCCTGACATGATGGCCATGGCTCTTTGTTGTACGCCGCATCTCGTTACGACAAGTCTCTGACAAGGATGAGGAGCACGAGGTACATCTGATGGCAGTGCAGAAGGGCGAACGGGCCGCCTTGTGGCCTCACTTGCGCGCGCATTCTGGCGATTCGATAACTCAAAGGAGACAAGACCAGGCGGCCCGGGGAATGAAAGACGGGGGCGAAAGAAGGCAGAGAGAATATTCTTCAGCAGGGTCCAGGGTCCAGGGCCCAGAGCCCAGAAAGCGTCGTGGCCTGGCCGTGCTCCTTTCGATTCGAAATAATGATATTCGATGTTACATAGGGCATTTCAGACTGCGCTTCTTTCCATTGGGTCTCGGCCCACATGGAAATTACCGACCAGAAGGACATGGCATGTTTCCAGGCAACAGCCTTGCCAGTCCCAGTACCGGAGATGGAACTGGGGCCTGGCCATGTCCGTCCCATGGATACCGACCAGGGGAACACTTGCTTGGGCAAACCCAGGACAAAGGTAGAACGATCCGACGGTACAAACTGCTCCACAGATATGCTCCATATCAGTGTCAGCGCAACATCTCTCTGCCGGGCCCGACGCTCCCAAGAGTCGACCTGTTACCACACTCGCTGAATTTTCCTTCTCATCGTCGTATCTTCGTTTTGCATCCGAGTTGATTTCGTGGAGTCCGAATCTATCTGCAGTCGTAAACGCGGCCTGTTAATTGTATGGGAAGACACAATGCGCAGCACCCAAAAAAAAAAGTACCAAGTAGAATAAAAAAGGCCAACAAATCAAATACAAAGGTCATAAACAGGTCTCTCTTAAAAACACTCAACTCCGCCCCCGCACGCCGCTAATCATCTCGCGGTGCGTCTCGCGGTCCCGCTGGCCCTCGGACAGGCTGCCCACACTGCGCAGGTCGCCCACCACGTCCTTGGCCTTGCCAAAGTACACCTCCTGCAGCTGGTTGCGCATCTTGCTCTCCATGTCCTCGACCAGCCGCCCAATGTTGGCAATGTGGCTGGCATCGCCGTTGGACACGGGCAGGTCCTGCTCGAGCTGCCGCGTCATGTTGCCGCTCAGGTCGAGGTGGCCGTCGCCCGTCTCGAGGCTCAAAATGACCGTCGACGTCAGCCGGTAGTTGGTCGTGCGGCCGCGGTCAATGGCCTCAAACACGTGGATCGAGTCCCACACACCCGACGACGACGACGAAGAAGGCGAAGACGCCTTCTTCATCAGCACGACGCCCGCAAAGCCGTCGTCCAGGTTCCAAAAGTACACGCTCGACACGCCGCCCTCGTAGTACATGTCGCGGTACACGTCAAAGGCCTCATTCGCCTGGATCTCCATCTTGCGCACGCGCTCGCCCGGCACCGCACCCTCGCCCGCGCCCTCGCTGGCACCGCCCGCGCCAATGCCGCCGAGTCCTCCGCCGCCCGCCTTGTTCAGGCCGCCCTCCAGCGGCGGGTCAAACTGGTTCGACCATGGTGAGCGGTACGAGTCGCCGTCGCGGTTGTAGTCGCACAGCAGGTAGTCGCGGCCCGTCTGCTTGCAGCGGCGGACCGTCAGGGGCTGGTCAACTGACGACAGCAAGTCTTCCGTCAGGTCGGGCGCAAGCATGAGGATGTTGTTCAGGTGGTCGGTTGTGTGTTTAGGGTTAAGGCGGCGGAGGAGGTCACTGGTCGGTTAGCGACGAGGTTCGAAAGCTCGAGCGTCCACACGGCGCCGTCGGCCGCGACGTCAACAAACTGGGGCATTGACAGAACACATGAACGATCGATGCAACCTACAGAGCGGAATCAAACGGGTCGGCCGGCATCGTGGGCGGAGGGTCAAGGGCACACGCTGCCCCTGTGCACGAATATGAAGCTGTAGATGGATGACGGGAAGGACGTTAGATGGGATTGGGTGACAAACCCGACGGACTGGGGCGGTAGATGGCGACAAAGGGGGTCTGGTGAGGTTGGACAGTCGGAGAAGAGAGGGGAGTGTTTCGCCTGTATCGAGAGTGTCGCGGGCGGTGCCTTGGCGGGGGAAGCTCTTTTGCGGGGCATCACGTGCAACGACCTGGAATCCCTTAAACGTCACGTATGAAAGATTATTAGTGTGCAAAATGAGGTGAATAGCAACAGTGACGAGGTCTCTATTTATCTCTGCATTTACCTCAAAACATATACAGGGGACCTGTAAATACTCTTTGTTTTTGGTAACTTATTTATTTGTTATTTCTTATAAAGACGGTGGTTATTGGTGGCGTTCAGTTGTATTTTTATTTTTTATTATAAAAAAGAAGTCAACTCGAAATAAAAACGAAATAAAAAAAAAAGTAAAGCATCTTAGTCGAATATGAGAAGTTGTTTTGTGATTAAGACCACTCGTCTCCCTCCAACAGCCCGAACTGTGATTTTTACTTTTTATATTTGAATATTATCTCTGCCTTGCCTATCGTATTTACCACTTCTATGCCGTAATGTCCTTTTTGGCCCGTCCGGTGGTCCCATGCTATGAAAAAAAAAGAACAAAAAAAAGGTTGCTAGGAACTAACATACAGAAAGAATAAGAATAAAGGCGCATAAAAAGAAACAAACAAAAAGAGAAAGGACCGGCGCATGTTTTCCATCTCCTAGCCAGAGACGCAAACAATAAGAAATAGCAAATGTATCATGATGGTGAAAGCAAAAGGGCATTGGGGTATATCCGGGTGTGGTTAAGTGGTTTTTTTTTTTTCTGTAAACAAGAAACACTCGTCGTTCTCGCGTTTCTTCTCCCCCCTGTTCTCTTCCCCCCGAGCGCAAAGCTCAGAAGCTTCTTTGGTATCCCTGCAACCCCAGGCTCGTTCTACTATGGTGGTCCTACCCCATGCGGGCCGTCTGCGCTTGCGGGATGCCGCCGCTGGATCCGTTGCCGCCGCTGCCGCCGTTGTTCTGCTGTTGTGCCTGCGCCTGTGCCTGCGCCTGGGCCTGAGCCTGAGCCTGGGCCTGGGCCTGGGCTTGAGCCAATGCCTGCGCGCGTCGCTGCTGGGCTGCTGCATTGTTGCTGGCTGCCGCAAACGAGCCTGCCAGCAACTGCCGCACACCCTCGTCAATCTGCAGCAGACAGTCCTCGATGCCCGTGCTGCCGGTGTTGCGGGCCGGTTTGCCCGTTCCGCCGGCCGATGCCGATGCTGAGGCCGACTCTTCGGGGTTCTTTTCTGGGTACGGGCTGGCAACGGCGGCCGTCAACAGACCCTTCCAGCCCGGTCCGCTGCCGTCAAAGACACGCCGCACCACCTTGCCGAGGTCGTCGTCCGCCGACGCGGGTGCCGCATTGGCCAGGGCCGCGGGAACGGGGGCGCCCGTGCTCTCCGGCGAGTTGTTGTCGAGGCGCCGGATTTGCCACAAGAGTTCGCTGCGACGGTTCTTAAGGCGCAGCTCCAGAACCAGCACGCGCGGGCGCGCCGCACCGGGCGGCGGCGTCGGTGCGCCGGCGCTGGGCGGCGTAGGCGGAATCAGGAACCGCACGACGTACCAGTCGAGCGCGCGGGGGAAGATGCCCAGCATGCCCGCGTTGCGCATCACCAGGCCCTCCCAGGCATCTTCAATGCGGTCCAGCGCGCGATGCAGCGATAGTGTGGCGGTCAAGAAGAACGGCACAGCCGCAAACGTCGTCGGGTCGTTGGCGACATTGTTCAGAAAGTCGGCCACGCGCAGATGCGGGCATCCGCGCTCGAGCTGCAGCTGCACCTGGGCAGAGCTCGAAAGGTCGACAGAGACGTCCCACCGGCCGCAGCTATTGGCCGCCGCCGTAGCGGCCGCCACTGCCTCGGTCGTCAGGCTCTGCTTCTCCTCCAGCGACAGCGGGCTGCCAGGACCGACGCTGTACGAGAATACGAGCCGGCTCAGGGACACCGTCTGGATGTGCACGACGCGGCTCTCGCGACGGATGGCGTCGAGGAAGCCCACGAGGCGCTCAATGGACCGCAGGCGCCGCACAAGCGTGTCGATGACAGACTCACCAACCGCGGCACGCAGGTACAGGCAGAACTGGCCCGTGCGGGAGTTGAACGCCACGTCCTGGTCCGTTCGGCTGCTGTTGCCGAGAAGCCGGAACTTGCTGCGGTCGAGGACGGTCAGACGAGCCTCGGCCAGCACGCGGATGCGCCGGCGGCGCTCGCCGGCGGCACTGTTTGTCTCGTCGTCGCCGTCCATGTCGACACCGCGGAAGAGCAGCTGCAAGAAGTCGGAGGCCCACCAGCGCTGTGCTTGACCATGCCTTCCGCGGCTGTTCGTAGACGGTATCATAGAGCGGTTGTTGATGGTTGTCGTTGTGGTGGACGGCTGCGATCCCGTGATGGCAGCGGCGCCGGCCGACAACAGGTCGGACAGCCGGATGCTCATAGCTGGTAATTTGGCGCGCGACGGCAGGTAGGGGTTGATCACGCGCGTCGCCTGGGCCATCTTGCGCCGCTGCGACAACTCATGCGCGTCGGTGTATTGCGCCAAGACACCCGTCGCATAGATGGTGAGGTCCGAGAAGAAGGCGTCGTCGAGATCGGAGGGACTGGTTCCCATGGGAAGCAGCATCTGCATCACGATGCGCGCTGCGCTGGTCGCCGCGGGTCCTTGCTGCTGCTGGCCGGGACCCGGTAGACCCGATACCGGGGGTGGGGACGTCGGCTGCTCAGCCAGCTTGACGAGCCACCACCGGTCACCGCTGAGACTGAGACTCGCCAGGACGTGCCACTGGGGCGCCGCCCAGTCGGGTCGCTTGAGCCACAGGACTTGGTAGGAGTCGCGCAGGTTCAGTACCTGCCGCAGCTCGTCTGGCTTCACCAGGTGGCCGCCGCCGGGGCCTGTGTTTCGCACGACCTGCCAACCGAAGCTCTTGGCACGCCGCCCTAGGTCCTCCTGAGCCGCTAGGTTTCGGACGTTGTCGAGCATGACGAAGCCCTCCTCCACAGGGTCGCCGCCCGTCCCCGTGGACCCGCCACCCAACGAGCCGCCAGCCGCCGCCGCATTGATGCGCATTTCGCTGTGTGTTACGACTCGCGACTTCTGCGGCGAGAGCGAGAACAGGCCCGTTACGGGGTCGATGCGCACCCATATGCGGTCGCCGGCGTTTGTGAGCTGGATCTCGAGGAAGGAGGCGCTGGCGTCGGTGCGCGAGATGCGCAGGCGCATGGTGGCCAGGCGCTTTGCAAAGAGCGGCTTGGCCGCCAGTTTCGTGTGGATGCCGGTCAGGATGTGCTCGACGTGCAGTGCGACGATGTGCTGAAGGACGGTCTCGGCGCACAAGGTGACAGTGGCGGAGAGTGGTGTGCTGCCATCGTCATGGGTTTGGCCCTCGGCCGTCTCTTCGCTCTCCGCTGAGAGGGTAGTCAGGATGGCGCTGATCTGGCCGTCGCCCAGGTCCTTCACCTCCTTGTTGTCACGGAACCAGCGCAGTGTGAGCCGGCTGGTGATTTGCTCCTCGGGAAGGTCGGCGCTCGCAGCATCGCGTCCGCTGTGTACGCCAATGATAAACCAACTGCGAACCTCGGCGTTGTTGCTGCCAGTGGGGCCCGCAGCGGCGCCGCTGTTGTAGTGGTTGCCCCCACTGTGCCGCGACGTCCAGTACTGCACCGCAATGGCACGGTTCAGCTGTTCGGCGCGCACCGTATCGATCCACCGTCCGCGCGCCAGGTCCTTCACCTGCCGCCGCAGCTCGTTGATTTTGTGTGTCAGCACATACTCGTGCAGCATGCGGTAGCAGCCTGCGAGGCCTTCGAGCCCCAGCACGTTGTTCACGCGGTCTTCGAGGGCCTTGCGGAGGCTGGGTGTCAAATCGCGCGGTGCGGGCGTGAAAAGGAACCGCAGGTCGAGGAACCACAGCTGTTGGGAGAAGTCGTCGCTCGCCAGGGTCAGGTCGACCTCGAATTCGCCGGGGACCTTGAACGTGACGCGTCCCGAGGCGATCGAGTAGTAGTTGCGGAAGAAGTAGGGGATGGTGTCGTGGTCGTCGAGATTGAGGCGGAGAGAGAGCAGCGTGCTGATGTCGTCCAGCTTCTTGAGCTGCTCCTGGGCATTGAGCGGTGGTGGGGTGATAAAGCCAAGGTCGGGCATCCAGCCGGCGGAGCCTCGCGACAAGACGTGGAGGGCGGTCTTGAGGTCGGGACTCGGCACACGTGCGGCGTTCAGGTTGCGCTTGAGGTTGAGCATGGTGAACACCGCTTGCTCATAGCGGACAAGCTCTTCCTCAAACATGTGGTTCTCGAGGTCGATGAGCTTGCTGATCTGGCTGGCCTTCTTGCTCCATTCTGTGATGACAAGGGCCTTCACCCAGTTGGCATGCTCGCTGCGCGCAAAGTCGAGCAGGGCCTTCTTCTTCTCAATGTTCTCGATCGAGCCATCCTCGGTGCCCGGTGGCAGCGCGGGCGGGGTGCCTGATGCGCCGCCGCTTCCAGCAACCGGTTTCCGCGCCAGCTCGCGGATGAGATCCTGGAGGTTGTTGTGTGTTTTTTGGGCGAGTCGTTGCAGCAGGAAGCCGAGCGGCACGTAGTTGGTGGTGATGTGTTGAATTTGGTCGGGCAGGTCGTTCATCCTTGATGATTGTGAGGTTGTTGGTGTCTCGGTTGTTAATGGTTCCGCTCTTGTTGATGCGTCGCCATTGACCATTTTGTCTGCACCGCCGACATCGCCGTTGACACCGTTTGCCTTTCGGGGGGAGCTCAGTTTGGCGTCTCTATCGTGGTTTGTGTGCACGGCGCTGCCGTTCGGCGCGCCGTTCTCCATCGCAGCCGCCATCAGGAGAAGGGTGGCAGGTTGTGTGTTGCGCGAAAGAGATGAACAACGGAAAAGCAAACAAAAACGGTCGGCAAATGGGAGGGGCTGTAGTCGTTGCCCGGCACCGCGAGAGGCCAAGAATGGCTCTGCAAATGCGAGATCGTTCGCCTGAGCCAGGTGCTGAGTAAACGTGCGTCCGTTCCGTTGGATGCGCGAGTCGTGTCGTCGTTCAAGATCGAGTTTGTGATGAGATGTCTCGTGATGCGCGTTCAGCGATCGAATCAAGGACGATCGCCGCGTGACAGTATCGGGATGCGCGACGCGCGCCCGCCGGCCTGGAAAACGCGAAAGATGCAGAGAAAAGGGAAAACCGCTGATGGAAAAGACGCCCCCCAATCTCGATTTGGTTTCCGAGGGGGGAAGAGGCTGCGATTAGGGACTTTGCATGGCGGATCGTGGATCGAGCTTGTGGTTCGACGAGGACGAAACACGGGCAAACAGCGAGAGGGCGCAGGCGAACGTGAAGGAAGTACAGGCGGTTAGCGAGCCTCTGACAGACGCTGGAAGTCGGCTTCTGGTCGAGAAGAGATGTCGACGGACGAAGAAAGACAGAGACGTGGATGAAAGACAGTTGTGAAGTCCGTCGCGAGGGTTGTCGTCGAGAACAGATGGACAGGCGAAAAGCAAAGGGCCTGCGCAATCACAGCGTCGCACAAAGGAGAAAGAAGGACAAAGAGGCAAGGAGACCAGTGACAACGGGGTACGTGAGGTGTACAAACGTGCAACGGTCGAGTAGGAGTGCCGTTCGTTTGGCCAGTGCCGGTTGTTGTTTGGTTGGTTGTTTTCTGTTGGGTTTAGAGAAACGAGCGAATGGACGATTTAGGCCTGGACGAGGAGACTCGAGCGACAGTGGAAGGCGCTATTGACGAAAAGAGGCAAGAGAGAGACAGTGGAAGGAACAAGGGAACAACCCAGCCACAGGCGGCAGATTCACCTGGAGCAGACCCACTTTCACCCCCGAAAACCATGACATCCATGGATTTTAAGCTACAAATGGGCAGGAGGACGCCGCGACTGCCATCCGCGTCGCGGTATTACTGAGCCGGCGCTTGGCTGGGTGAAGTCACGTGCACATCACTTTATTACCATTCAGGCTGTTCACCAGCATCTCCGAGGCAACACTCCTACAAATGAGGAACGACAGTATCATTGACTTTGGAGCTGAGACTGGTAGAAGTTTATTTTCCTGGGGAAGTTAGTTTCCCGGGGAAGATTGCTTATCTCTACGTAGACATATGGAGATGTACGATGAAGGCAGGAAGAGGCATCGGGGCTCTTGAGGTACAGAACGACGACAACAGTGAGCTCCATGGCATTATTATTTTTCACCAGAAGACAAGAATTACGGTCACGATTATATAGTATTGTGAAAATGTGAGAAATTGAAACCAGCCGGATCCCATTGCTATAGCAGAAATAAAAGCAAGTAAAAAAAAAAGGCAATGTGTCTCCCCTCATAGTTCCCCCTTCGTTCACATGAAATCATAAACATGCAATTTCTTTTCTTTTCTTCTTTTAATCTTTGAATCCCCGTCTTCTATCACCTCTTTGAACTGTTGTCACGTCAGGCACGGGCCAAGACCAGCACCGCACCAGCGTTGACATGGACGTGTCTGTTCGTCTCCAACGGCTGATTCCATTTCTTCTTCTAAAAGACCAGGCGAGAAAGAGAAGGCGAAAGGACGAGAGGATAAGACGACAGAGGACAACAAGAGAACCAACTTGTAGTCCCCGTGCTGCCCCCACTATCCATCTGTTTCTTCAGTTTGTCCCTTTTTTCAACTGTTGTAACGATGGTTATTAAAACACATCCATTCCGAAGGGGCTTGGGACCATCCACAAGCGTCTCCGCGCATGTTGAACGGTCCGCAGCTCCATTGTCATAATCTGCCTCTTCCATGGCTCCTTCTTCTATCCCCACTCTACCAACTCGTCATCGATCGCGCCAGGGCATCGCCAACTTACAACTTGGTATTCGGCGGCTGGGCAGCCGACGTCGTAGGCCACTGGTAGCCCGCGTTGTCGGCAAACCGGTAGCCATAGGACGCGGTAAAGTCATCGAGAACGGCGGGACCACGAGAACCTGAGCGGTGTTAGTAGATGGTGTGACCAAGAGGCGCGGGTAGACAGGTTTAGGCAAGCCTGCTTTTATACATACCGTAGGCGTACTCCATAGGCACGATTTCCTTGTTGTCGTCGAGGTAGTGCAGCAGCGGCGTGAAGATTCTCCAGCTGGCGTCCAGCTCGTCGTCACGGACAAAGTTGGACTGGTCGCCACGGAGACAGTCCAGGATGAGCGACTCGTAGGCCTCAGGAATCTTAAGGTCCGAGAACCGGCGGCGGTAGGTCAGGTCCAGCTCGGTGGCGACGGTCTGCATGCTGAGACCGGGCAGCTTGGAGTTCATCTTGATGTAGACGCTCTCGTTGGGCTGGATGCGCATCACCAGCTCGTTACGCGGGATGTCTTTGAAGATGCCCGAGGTGACGTCCCTGAACTGTATCCGGATTTCCGTCTTCTGCTCGTTGAGGGCCTTGCCGGCCTTCATGATGAAGGGCACGCCATCCCACCGCTCGTTCTTAATGAAGGCGACGAGTGCACAGAAGGTGGGGCAGCGCGAGTCCTTGGGCACGGTGTCGTCCTCCTTGTACGAGGGCTTGGAGCCGTCCAGCGAGCGGCCGTACTGGCCGATGATAACGTTCTTAGGTTCGATCGCCGGCATGGCGCGCAGCACGCGGACCTTCTCGTCGCGGATGTCCTCGGCCGAGAAGGAGATGGGACGCTCCATGGCCAGCAGGGTCAGGACCTGCAGCAGATGGTTCTGCATGACGTCACGGACAATGCCGAACTCGTCAAAGTAGCCACCGCGGCCCTCGGTGCCGAAGGGCTCCTTGAAGGTGATCTGGACGTTGTCGATATGGTGGCGGTTCCAGGTGGCGCCGAGGAACGAGTTGGCAAAGCGCATAACGAGGATGTTCTTGACCATCTCCTTGCCGAGGTAGTGGTCAATACGAAACAGCTCCTTCTCGTTCCAATCGGGCTCGAGGGACTTTTGCAGCTCGCGGGAGCTGGCCAGATCCTTGCCGAACGGCTTCTCGACCTGTTGGAAGGAGTCGGTTAGTCGGTTGGCAACGCACTTTGTTTTTCCAGGACGGACACGGCAAAGACGGGAAGACGCACAATGACGCGGACAATGCCCTTCGTCGTGTAGCAGCAGCGCTTCAGGTGCTGCGAGACCATTGTGAAAACGCTGGGGGGGAGGGCCATGTAGAACAGGCGGTGGGCCTCCTTGAAGTCCTTCTCGAGGTCCTCGATGTGCGAGTTGAGGCGTTGGAAGGACTCATCCTGGTCGTACTGGCCAGAGATGTAGGTGCACCGGCTGCAGAAGTCGTCGAGCTGCTGCTCGGTCTCCTTGGTGGGGGTCTTGATGTACGAACGGATTCTCCGAATATACTCCTCGTGATCCATCTTTGTTCTAGCATAGCCGACGATCTTGATGTTCTTGGGAAGGAATTGGTTGCGGTACTACATTTCCAGGCGATCGGTGTTAGCTGCTAGCTGCGTCCGGGAGAAGAAGGCGGAGAAGGAGAAGGAGAAGGAGGAGGCGAAGGAGGTGGTGGCGGAAATGGGCACGGCGCCTTGCAAATTCAATTGCAAGGTATGAACGCCTACGCTCAAGGAGGGTGCAAAGTCGCATTTCGTGACAACGTTCTGCTTTTGTGGATGCGCTTGTGTGGTGGGAGTGGTGGAGCGTTAGAGCTGTTTTCGTCACTTACAAGACCGAAGAGGGCGGGATACTGTCATACTGTTAGCCGTCATGGAATAAAATGACACCGCAACCCAAGAACTATTTACGTGGAAAGAAATCGGGACTGTGGCAGGAATTACGCGGGGAAACATACTGTCTTCTTCTTCGCCAGATCACCAGAAGCACCAAGCACCACGATGGTGGTGTCGGCCTTCAGCTCCATCATGCTGGGACACGGTTAGCTGGATGGAACGCGCTGTAACTCTCTCTCTTTCTGTTTCTCTTATAGCCAGGTCGGAATGTCTCGTTACAATTCCCTTTGTCGCATCGTCGTTCCAGTCTTGTGAAGCTGCTTTTCCCTCGACTTTTATATGCCGGAAGCTTGGGAGAGCTCCTCCAGGCGGCCCAACGAGCGAATCGCCCACCGGGTATTCTGAATTGGGGGGTGGCAAACAAGGAGGGTAGTGAAAAAGGACGGAAACAAGCAGCAACGCGGGAAGCAAAAAGAGGTGAGGCGGGGTAGACAACAGAGTAACAGCAAAGTGAAAACGAGAGGCAGAAAGAGGCAGAGCGAGACCAAAGCGAGAGAGTTTGAGCCATTGAAAACAGCAACGGAAGCGGATATGGCGCCTCGTATGAAACAAATCGAAGGACAGAAAAAGTACATACCCTGTGTCGCTGGTGGGGGCGTCCATTGCGGCAGTTTGTCGATTTCTGAGATTGAGGGCGACGGAAAGCGATGAGCAGATGAGATAGTGGAAACCCAACGAATTCGAGCCAAAAAAGACTGAAAATGGGAAGAAAAGTCGACGACAGTGACGACGAAGATGAGAAAGGAGAAGGGAGAACAAATGCGGCGGCGGCGGCCTGGGGTGGACAGCTTCGATGCGCGCAAAAAATAAAAAAAATTATAGGCTGCGAGCTAATCGTCAAGCCGCAGGAGGATAAACCGTTGAGATGTCCGATGGGTGGAGGGGGGAATTGAACAGCAGAGTTGGAGAAGCTGCTGGATGATGCACTTTGGGGAATTGGCGAGAATGAAGCTCAAATCGAGAAGAACAAACAAATCAGGGTAAATAAGGTAAGAAAAAAAAGAGGGAAAGAAGGAAGGAGGGATCTAGGACAGCGAAGACAGAGAAGACAGACAAAGAGGGAAGGAGGGAGGGACAACAAACGGGTAATGCCAAACGTTTTGGGGAGGTCTAAAACGGTGATGATGCTGGGCAGGAGCGGCGACGGCGGAGAGGCGGCAGCGCGGGGCGGCTTGCACTGGGGACTAGGGAGGGGCGTGGTCTAGCATTTTGTTGACTGCACCTGTGGCGATGGGTAAATGAGCGCTGCAAGTGGGGGGAATGACGACGAGCTCGGAGTATTGGCGGGGGAAGCTACTGCCCTGTAGGCAAGATTCTGCCGCGCTACGACAGAGGTGCTTGTCGCTTTAGGGGTGTCCGTTTCGCTGGGGCAGGCAGGTGGTCCCTGTTACGCAACGGACAGGAGCTTACTCAGGCAGTGTCGCTCTTTCCTACGCAGAAATAGAGATGCACGCGCCGCATAACTCTAGCCCGCCAGGTTCTCCTCGCTGATGCGGAATTAGGAAGGCACGCTCTCTGTCAGTGTATTGTCGTTTTGGAGGACAGAAACCTGGGCGAGACAATGCCATCCGCGCCTTCCGTGACTCGTAGGATATACGGCGGCGGCGGTGGTTGTGGTGTGTAAGGTGCTTGCAGAGCCATACATGTAAATACTGCACAGGTCTTCCGTAAGTGTCAAGCAGGGCCCCTACTACTGGATGTACTGTATGCACCTGCCGTATTGCCTTTGTTCACAAATCATACAAAGCATCGGCCGTTGCTTTGTCACAGAGAAGGAGCAAACCAATGCGGCGATACGGGAGAACTGTGGAACTAAGACACATCCCTCACCATCCCAACTGAGCACCGATCCGCCTCGCTCTCCGTCTTCAGGCTTTCTTCTTCGTCAGTGGAGGATGAGTGACGCTCTCGAGTGTTGCCGACAAAGACCCGATTTCGCAGGGCGCTCGTTACGGGAGCCCCTCCACGGCCAATTGGTAAGCGCGGTGGGCGGCAAGGACAACGAGTGGTTCCCGTTTTCCTCGGAGTCAGTTTTACTAGATTTGTCGACAGCGGAGGTCGCAACGGGGGAAAAGGAATACAAATGACAAAATAGCCATGCGGAGTGCCTTTTCACTGGGCCACGCGTGTCAACGGCGGGCATCGGCTCCAAACAAAACACGAATAACTGTTTGTGGCTGTCGGCGGGATTTACTATAGGAATACAGGGCTCGAGGCGCCAGAGCAAAAGCCGACCGAAATGCTGGGAAAAGGAATGCAAGTTAATCTTACGTAGCTGTGTCGTTCTCTGCACTGGACACAGCAATGGCCGGAAATGCCAGCTTTCCGGTGCCTGGGATGAGGGGGGAAGGGAAGGCTGGCCTGTTCGTGCCTATTCTACCATTTAGCTCCAAAAAGTTGCTCTTCCGGGAGAGAATTGGTGGGAAATTACGAAGTAGCTGGGGGAAGGAAAGCTCCTCCTCTTGGCCCCATTTGGTCTGCTTGGATGTCGGCACATTCTGCTCCTAAGACCGAGGCCACATCGAGGAAGAGCTTGTCGCGGCTACACAGCGGATCCACAGGAATCAGAATGGACCGTGTGGTGTCTGACGGATGAGGACAGGATGCGGAATACAGTAATCTTGGGCTTGACGAGGCCGGGCGTGTGGCTACCTACGAAGTAAGTACGTGTGTTCGCACTGCTGCGCGCTCTGTGCGAGTTGGACACGTTCCTGGTGCAGAGGACGGTGCATCCATGTCACAAGGTTCGTCCGCCCTCCCCCAGCATCGGCCAGCATCTGTACCGCGTGCCTGTCCACGAGGGCCTGTCCACGAGGGTTGTCCGTTTGCTGCTTCTGGTGGTCCACGCACCACCGGGCCTCGTTTCCAATATGCAACTCCTGGGAAGCGCGCGGGCATACCAGTGTGGTCAATACTACGGAGCACAGGACATATCAGAGAGGCGCAAAAGTTGATTCAGACACCAATTCCATTCGTTTCGTGAGCTGCGGGGAAGCGACAGGTGGTGCTTCTACGAAAGAACTCGACAACCAAAAACGATGTCCGTCCATATTATGCCGTGGTAGTGGGGATTCTATTGTTACGCAAAAGAGCGGTAGCGACAGGGGACCTGGAATACGGTCGTCCGGTTGAATAGGAATAAATCCGGTCGGATTGGGCTACAAGTTCCGATGAAGACGGCGCCAAACAGAGCCGACAGAACCTGCCAATCGCAGTGAGAATTGGAACGTGGTGGCAGCGCGCAGCGGACAACTAGTTTGTCGTATAGCTTAGAACCTACTAAGCCCTTATCCACTAGGAAGTTATCTGCGCGCATCGTTCTCATCCATCTACATGACAAAGATGTCGCCTACCGCGACCAACTATGCTGTGGCACAAAGGAACGATGCAGCATGCAACGTGCATGTTGTACAATGCGCCACGGGTTCCATGCCTTGCCCTGAGAGCGCACTGGACAACAGCACAAAAAAGCATTACGGCGACATCTCCGCCGGGTCCGAAGATGGATCCAAGGCAAGCTGTGGCGTAAGCTCGGACTTTTCCAGCGGGTCGACGTTCGATGCTCTCTGTTTCGATCACATAACCGCCGGCTCGTAGCGAGCAACAGTCACAACGCTTGGCGTTCCAGAATCACAACTATCGCGTCTGCTCATCCTCGGACTGCTGCGTTTGTAGTCCTTCATTTACAATGCCATTCACCTAAGAAGCAACTGCACGCAGTTCAACTGCGTCATCAGCGACCGTCGAGGACGTGACGTTTTACTATCAGTAACTCAGGGCTGAATGACGTCGGCACCAGCAAATCGAAAGTGTCGGTGCAAAAACACAGAAGATGTTGAACATTGGGAGCGTGATCTGGCACGTGCAACTAAATTTCAGCCACATAATATGGCGCCACGCCTTCATTGCTCCGTATTTTGCACGCCCGTCCTTACTAATACTGTCACGTGCATGTGCGGGCATTGGCCAGCCCTCTTAGGGTTTGGAATTTCCGGGCTAAGTCGCTTTTGGACAGGGAGACAAATTTTTTTTTCATCGCTCTTGCCCGCCCAATGCCTGTGGTGTGTTGCCCTTGGTCCCACTCACCTGCCTTTGGTGTCCAAACGCAAAATATTCACAGAGTAGTGGCCCGCAATCCGAAAGCCTCACAAAGATATTCCTCCTTTCCTCTCTTCCCTTCTCCCGCAGCCAACTTTGAAATCGACAACACCCAACGCGGACGCGACGAAGTAAGAAGCCCTCTCTGTCTTTCGCACAAGACGAATATTAGATTGTTGCTTTTGCTCAATCTATTCCTCTCTCTTGTTTCTCGCCCAACAACAAACCTGCGAACAAAATCCATTAACAAAACTGTTTTGTTTTTTTGCCAGAACGAGACTTTTTTGGTCTTTCGACAACCCCCAACATCACACAAAATGCCTTCCGAGAGCGGTCACAGACGTGAGTGTTTTCTACCCTCTGGGACACGAGGAGAATCGAGTTGCCGAGACGACACTTTCTGCGCGGGCCACCGGCCATCCTCTTTTGCGAATCGTCATATCTGGCACACAATCTTGTCCGGCCACCTCGCCGTGAGCGGATGCGAACGAAAACGCGACCGTCTGCTTGCATTGGACGTCGTTTTTTGCTTGCTGTGTTGAATATGGAGATGGATTGTCGCCAGAACCGATTCGCAAAGAGGCGTGAAGAGTTCGACTTGGAATATGCGGATGAACATTGACTAACATGGCATTTTCTTTCGCAGTATATGTGAAGTAAGTTTATACAACGTTCACTCGGCAACGAAGGAGAAAGCCGAAGAAGACGAGGACAAGCGTGGGACATGGAGAGGGGTGGGCAGACGCATTTATTGTCGACAGGACATCAGCATCGCATCCGTATCCAAACCGAACACCAAAGATCAGAACAGCATTCAGGCACGCGAGACGGTACTTGTTATAGGACTCGCAGCAACCGACCGACTACGACGAGACCCAGAGACACTCTCATTTTAAAAGAGAGCGACGGCCGAGAGTGACACGTCTCTCAACAGACATTGGCCACGCACTGGTTTACAACCAACCGTTGTATATTACAGCATTGAGCAACACCACGACAACGTCCGTGCACGACGATTCTTGGACGACTGCGCTCAATGATTGCAAAACTGCAAAAAACGGACCGCCGACGGATTTCGGACTCGATGCTGATGCGACGGAGGTGGATGGCAAGGTTTTTGGGGGGTTCTTGGGATGACGCCTAATACGAATGATGATCGAGCACAAAACAAACATCGTATGCTAACAAATTTTCACAGGGGTCGCCACCTGAGCTACCAGCGTGGCCGTCATGTCGTCCACCCCAAGACCAGCCTGGTGAAGATTGAGGGTGTTGATGACACCGCTGCTGCCAAGTACGTTTTTGTCATCCCTGCGCAACGTTCTCCCAACAACCCACTCGAGACAAGCAAACCGTCCCGGCACTAACATACGGCTCTGTAGCTTCTACCTGGGCAAGAAGGTCGCGTACGTCTACAAGGCTCAGACCGAGAAGCGGGGAACCAAGATCCGGGTCATCTGGGGCAAGGTCACCCGGCCACACGGCAACTCGGGTGTCGTCCGCGCCAAGTTCGCCACCCCCCTCCCCGCCAGATCTTTCGGTGCTTCCGTCCGCATCATGCTGTACCCCTCTTCGATATAATTACTGGGAGCGTGCGCTATGATGGAGGGGACAGAGTTGCGTTGCGTTTAGGTTGAAGCATCCACAGTGACTGGGGAAAGGGGGGACGGGATGCAATATGCTAGGGCATAGCATTGGGCATTGTGTGGCGGTTCGTGTGTGGAGCGGGCCCGGGAACAAAACAAAAAAAGAGGTGTTGAGGGTTCGTTGTGTGCACGAGGGAATGGTGACGATATGATTTCGAAAACCACATTGGCGGGCTGTGTGAGGCAACGCATTTTGATTTTGTGTTTTGTCCTCCTCGCCCTCCCTCTCTCCCTCATGAGAGGCACCACTCTCGCTCCCGATCAGGACCCTCTTGTCTCTCTTCTCTCCCGGGACAGAGAGCAACGAAAAAAAAAGTGGCCGGAGATGGGACGGAGTTTTTTTTACTATGTTTCATGTTTCATTCTTCCTGGTTTGTCGAATGCGATGATTGCACATGGATTGGGAAACACAACAACACACACACAACACAATATACACAAACCAAAAAAAAAAGAAAAAATTACAATTTTCACAAGACCGAAAAAATCTTGTTGCGTATGACGAGTGTGATGCAGTCCCGGCAGGATGTAATTTGTTCTTGTACGACGGCAACGCACACTCTAGATAGTGATAGGATCTCTTGTTGAAGAAGATGATGATTAATAAAATAAAACTTATGATTTGTCCAAATAAGTATTTTCTTTTCTTGAACATGTATAACATGCCTACCTATATGCAAAGTAGTCTATCAAAGCGAATGCGACAATAATATGCAGACCATCATAAATCCGATGACCGAGACCGAAGCAGTTTATACAGACGCTGAAATGTGTGACAACACTGACAACCCATCCTAAGTACAACTCAATCGTAATGACCCTGTATCATGAAAATAACAATATCAACAACAAAATATACAACTTTTCGGATATAAACCACAACATGGCCAGCTGTGCTCGTCCTGCCCCTACTTGCGAGAACGGCGTGGCCGACTCGTGGGCGCATCATCCCTGCCGTTGTTGTCGCCGTCGTCGCTCTTGGGGGGCGTGGTCGTCGTCACCGTCTCGTTTGTGTCGCCCTTCTCGTCTCTCTCGTCCTTGTCGTCCTGCTTCGCCAGCAGCATCCTCCGCACTTCTTCCTCGACGGCCTTGGCGACACGATCGCCGTCGCCCCATTCGGCGGCCTCCAGCTCCTCGGCACGGCTTGCGCTGCCCGCCGTCACACGCTGTGCGAGCTCCAGCTTCGTCTGGCACGCCTTGTACACAAGCTCCTCAATGGTGCCCTGTGTCACCAGCTTGATGACCTCGACGTCCCGCGTCTGGCCCAGGCGGTGGGCCCGGTTCTCGGCCTGTACGTCGTCCTGCGGGTTGTCGCTCTGGTCAAAGATGACGACCTTGTTGGCGGCCGTGAGGTTGATGCCCGTGCCGCCGGAGCCCGTCGTCAGCAAAAAGACGGGGATGTCGGCGTTCTCGTTGAACTCGTCAATAATGTCCTGGCGCTCATCGACGCGCGTGGCGCCCTCGAGGGACACGTAAGCAATGTTTTCGTGCTCGAGACATTCGCGCAAGATGTTGAGCACGCGCGCAAAGCGCGTAAACACCAGAGCACGGTCGCCGTTCGCTTGGAACTGCCGTACCAGGGACAGCAGCTCGCGCACCTTGCCGCTCTTCAAGAAGAGCCCGTCGGGCGTGTCGTACTCGCGGATGCAGTGGTAGTCGCGGCACCATGTGTGCAGCTCAAAGTCGGAGCAGTCGCGCAGCTCGTTGACCAGATGGCCCAGGTTGGGCTGCCGCAACTCAGCCTGCGGCACCTCCATCATGAGAATCTCGGCCATCTTTTGGACCTTCTTGTCGTCGTAGTAGCGTCGGAACAGCTGCGCGTGGATGGCCGATTTCCGCAGCTGGACCCATACGTTGTTCTGGTCGTTGGACAAGCCTGTGACAGCCGACCGTGCGACAGCCGCACGTGCCGTGCTGTCGCTGGCGGCAGCAGCGCCCTTGAGGCCCGCCGCCCGGCGCTCGCGTCCTTCGCGGAACTGGCGTTCGTACGCTTCGTAAATGGGCCGCTGCGTGTCGTCGAGCTCACAGCACACGACGCGTGACGTCTTGGTCGGCATGCTTGAGAGCACCTGCTCCTTGCGACGCTGGAGGATAAAGGGCTCCAGGATCTGGCGGGCACGCCGAACGCGGTCGCTGAACAGAAGAGCGCCGTTGCTCACGTCCTGCAGCGTGAACCGCTGGCTGAAGAGCGCGCCAAGCTTTTCCAGGTGCCGCTCGAACAGCGTCGGCTGGATAAAGTTGAGGAGGTTGATCATTTCCATCAGGTTGTTTTGGACGGGCGTGCCCGTGAGGATCAGCCGCCAGTTGGCGTCGATGCGGCGCAGCGACTTGTACACGTTGGTGCCCGAGTTCTTCATCTTGTGGCCCTCATCAAAGATGGCCACATTGGGCGAGATCTTGCGCATGGCGTCGACGTCCTGCTTGGCCATAACCTGCGAATACGAGGCCAACACCACATGGTGCCTGTCGCGGCGCGCCTGAATCCGGTGGAAGATGGCGTCGCGCTCGGTTGTCGACCCGTTGTAGGAGGTGACGCGGATCTTGGGCGCAAACTTTTTAAACTCCGTCTTCCAGTTTGCCAGTGTCGATGGCGGGACAATCACCAAGTTGGGCCACGGCCGCGACGACTCGTCCTCCACGTCGCCGCCGTACGACTCAACCAGGTGGCTCAGAAACGAGATCACCTGGCAAGTCTTGCCCAGGCCCATGTCGTCGGCCAAGATGCAGCCAAAGTTGCGCTTGTACAGCTCCCACAGCCAGTTCATGCCGTACAGCTGGTACCCTTTCATCGTGCAGTGGCCACGCATGAGCTCTGGCTCCTGGGGGATGGGAAGCGGCACATAACTGCTCTTCTTATCCGCAGGGACAGGGAGAGTGCCGTTGGAGCTTTCCGGTTCACTCGCCGGAGTCAACAGGCCATCGGCACCACTACCGCCAGCCGCCGGTTGGAGCTTGTTGCTGCCACGAAAGTCGACGTTCCAGCGGTGAAGCGTTGATCGGATTTGCAGGCCCTTCTGCTCGCACTGCGCTACAACAACGTCAATGGCCCGCAGGGCAATCACGTATTCTTCGACCGCATCAAAAATGTCCTCGCCAATGTTGGCGGCCTTCTTCTTGTTGCGACCGCCAGCCGCTGGTTCGGCCTGGATGCGCGTCACAGAGGCGCGCGAGCGGAAGGGCCGGTGAGAGAGAATGGTCTCGGCTTTGCCGCGGGCCTTGGCACCCAGCATCGCAACGAGGTCGTCGACGGTACAGGTGTTGAAGTACTCGAGGACCCGCTTCTCGACGTCGCCGCTGTCGTCGTTGTCATCGTCTTCGTCGTCCACATCGATCACGTCGCCGTCGTCGTCGTCGTTCATTTCCATGGGCTCGTCGTCGCTGATCTCAATGGCCGGCGGACTGGCGGCGGCGTCGTCGTCGTCGTCACTAACCGACCGGTCTAGATCCACCAGATCCGTCTCTTCTTGCTTGTCCACGGCCGGCGAGCCCGCCTGCGACGAGGTCGGGCCTCGGTACTTGCGTCCCTGGACAAGCCGGCGGCGTTTCGGTCGTGGATCGGGGCTGAGACCACTCCGCTTCAACGAGTGCTGGGACGAGGGGGTCGCAGGTGTGGAAGCGCGTGACGTGTTGGTGGTCGTCGTCGTGTTTGTGCCGGCCATTTTAGAACCCAAACTGTTGCCCTGATAGGAAAAGCTGCGGATCATCTCGGGGACCTTGGACTTGGCAATGGGCGACGGCCGGGCGGGGGCGGCGAGACGCAGTTTCTTCTTTTCTTGCTCTTGGGCAAGGAGATCGTCAAATACGTCCATCACGGCTTCCTCGACGTTGAACTTATGATCGATCAAGGTGGCGCGACAAACCTCGACAGGAACGTTCATATAGCCCTTGCTGCGCAGGGTCTTGACCATCTTGCCGACCAGTGTCTGGATTTTTCTGTCGTCAAGCATCCGACGGCCGAGCGGCTTCGACTCCACCGCTGCTGGTGGAGAGGAATCGTCTTCTGCGCCTGTCTCGTCTTGCTCCTGTTCTGTCTCCAAAGTGGTGGCAGCGGCTGCCGGTCTTCGAACTTTGTCTGGGCTGCGGAACGAGGAAGGCCGGATGTCGCCCCGCCGCCGGCGGTCATTCTCGTTGTCGTCGTCCGAGCTGTCATCAATGCTGATAATATTGTCCAATGCCCGGTCGTCGTCGAAATCGTCCGCAACTCTGGCAGCAGGAGATGCAGGCCGCGGCGCTGCCTGGGCGGCCGGAGACCGATACGTCGTGCCAACCGGCGCCATGAGAGAGGCCAGTCGGCCGCGTGCGGTGATCGTAGAGGACGGTGCCACCTGCGGTTTGGGCGACTGGAAGGGCGAAGACGCAGGGACTTCGATGATGGACCGGGCGGGTGACGAGGACGGGATGTTGATGGGAACGGTTTCGAGAGCTTTGCTACCGCCGAGCGTCAAAGGCGGCTTCTTGAGAAGCTGTGTCGGCTGCGTCACACGTTGCGTGATGGCCTGGGTGGGCTGCGTAAAGTAGGGCGAATTGGCAAAGCCTCCGACACCGGCAAGCTCGTCCTCGTCGTCCTCGTCGTCCTCGTCGTCGTCTTCTTCTGCCTCAGCCTTGTCCGAGTCTTCAATGTCGTCCTCCTCCTCTTCATCCACATTGTAGTCACCGTCCTCGTCGTCGTCGTCCACGTCGTCATCATCACTGTCGTGGTCTCGCCGTGACCCGCGGGGCTGTGCTTTCGGTGTCTCTTGTGTCCTCGTTGGTAGAGAGGGAGTGGTATTTTTGTTGCTAAGACTGCTGCTGTTGGACCGCGCGAGTGACGCCGCCTTGGCAATCGTGAAGGGGTTCCGGCGGTTGCTCACGGACGACGACGCAAACGAACCAGCAGGCCGTGACCTCGAGGGCAGTGGCGACGAGTCCATGTTTGGGAAGACGACAGAACGGAGGGAGGCTGCTGTTGTCGTCTAACGGCGGTGTCGATACGACGACAAGACAGCCGAAAGGGGATGCTCGTGATTGGGCGTCGTGTTTGGACAGCAAATGCTGCCGAGAAGGGAAGAACTGCCCAGCGTCGCCTTCCAGTTAGAGAAGGCGCCGTGAAAAGACGAATGCGGCAAGAACCGTCTTGGGGCCTTTGCGTGAAGATTGAAGAAGGAGGCAACCGGTCTGGAAACCAAGAAGGAAAGAAAGGCGCCCAATATAACAAATGGGAAAGGCAAATGCGTGAGAGATGGCAGTCGATGCCCTCCTGTCTTGACCGACTCAAATCACAAACGATGTTTCCCGCTTATCTTGTTGCCAATGCCTGTCACCGTCCCTTGCGTTACCATTTTTTTGGCCTTTTTTGGAACGCCCGCAACGCGTTTTTAGGCGCGGGGTCCCATCTTTTTCCTGATGGCGCAGTGATATTCCAATTAGACGTTTGGGGACAACGCTGCCAAGAGGACCAGACACGCTATCACGTTTACGCGCGTGTTATGTAAGCATATGTCTGGGGCTGCTTCTTAACCAGCGTACGACATACGGCATACAAACCAACAAGGCGGGCCGACGTCATCCACTCCTGCCATCGACAAACGACAACGGCTGATTGCAAACAATCATACTTTCATTAGGCCATATCCAGAGTAATTGTCTGTCGTTGCATAAAGTGAGTGCATTGACGATACTCCGCCAGCGGCGTCTCGTCACCTTCCCTCGTCACCTTCCCTCGTCTCATTCCCACTCGATTCTCGACGAGCAACGGCAGTCGCCTGCCACCACAGCCATGGCCACCCGCCGTCTTGCCGAGGGCGAAAAGACCATCCTGGAAAAGGACGACACCGTCGGGGCCAGCCCGCCAGCTGGCGAGAAGTCCAACATTGCCCCGGCTGTTCCACAGTATGTTGCCGCTGTGCCGGAGCCTCGGGGCTGCTACTCTTCTCTTCTTGTGATGTAATTGTGTCTCACCATTGTCTAGGCACGTCATCTTGAAGCTTCTGGGCTTCACTTTTACCATGATTGTGGCACCAATCGGGTCGTATTTTGCGACGGTGGATGTGCTCTTCAAAGGTATGTTCTGCAGGACACCGGCCGCCGCCACCACAAGTCGCCGCTCGGTCCGGTCGAACCTTGCTAACCTGGCACAGGAAACTCAACATATGCAGGCGCATTGGCAGCCATCGTCGCCAATGTAGTGCTCCTAGCGTATGTGGTGGTAGCGTTCTACGAGGACCAGTCGGACCAGCTGGCCGAGAAGGAGACGAAGAAGGAGAGGTAGAGATGAGGATTTCGATTTTTGGCTGGGTTTTTTGTGGTTCTTTTTTTTCACAATATACCACGGGCATGGTGGAAAGACTATCATATGGCTTTCATCCTTTGCTTGTTCGCAATTTTAGCTGTGAAACGTCGATTGGCGTGCCTCGTGAAATGGGAATGTGATTCAAGCTTTGTTGTAAGGCGAGTAAATCATGGTCAAATTTTATGCCTCACCTTTTGTGAAGGATGAAATATGGTATTCGCTGCCCTATCACCGTGGCGTACTTGAGGGCGGTGTTCATTTTATGTTATTGTATATTTACTTTCTTACTCGTCTTCTCTACAAAAGCTATATTTGAACGTTTTCATCGTTAAAGGACTGACAGCAATTTTCACTACTGTTAATGCGATTGTTTATAGCGGAGGCATTGTGAAGAAAAGTAAACCCATATATAAAAACCTTCCGAAGCAAGCATTAAATATTCGAAAATACAACAAAAACTTTCTGAAAAAAAGGAAATAAAAACGCCGGATCCTGGGGTTCTGCTTTGTAGCGTGTAGTGCGTGACCAAATAAGAGAACAAGTCCAAATATGACAAAATAGACGCACAGGCAAAATACATGGACAGCTCAAGTAGACGCCTCTGCAGACCCAGGCGACGAGACCAAGACTCGGCTCATCGGGTCGCGCCCCTTTTATCGCCTATCACCCCCTCTGTCTCGTTGCCTCTTTCCAAATTCGCAACAAAAGCGCACCATTTTTGTTCTTTTCGTTTTTTATCTTCCTTCACAACACCTGCAAGTGAGCTATTGTATATTTGTCGTTTCCCATCTTTTTTGCTTTGTTCCCGACGCACCGTCAGCTTCTCTGCATCTTCCCTTCATCGAATAAAACATTAAAAGAGCCGTCACAGAAACAAGGTCAGTGCTGGTTTCCGTTTTGCTGTTCGTATGGCAATAGTGGCGGTAGTCGTAGGTATTGGTGGTGACCCGAGTCGACATGGACGTCCGACTTCATTTATAGGTGAATTGAGGTGTTGACAAAGGAAATGGTGACAAAACAAGGCGGAAGAAAAAAAATGAAGCAACGACGGCAGATATAAAGAGAGTGAGTACGAGTCAAAGTACGAGTGTGCGAAAAAAGAACTTGAAGCGCTTTTGGCGTAAATGAGCGTGGATGACCCCGGCGCCTTGGGGTGTCAGTAAGAACAATTGGAAAGTAAAGGAGGGAATAAGAACACAAGAGGAGAAAAGGTCGTCATCATTCATGGTTTGTGCAGCTGCCCAAAAAATAAAAGATAAGTGTATGGCCTCTCTCTTTAGGTGAAGATTGAGTGTGTGAAGCCGGTCGGAAAAGCAACAGCAGAAGACGAGAAGAGACCAATAAAAGAAATAATCGGCTGGGGGGATTTGTGTATGTTTTGTCGTCGTCGCCTTGACGCTTCAATGCTGGTTCCAAGCGGGCACGGTACGTTTCCACTAGTGTTGCCGGCTGAACCGCTTGGAGAACCAGCTCTTGCGCTTGTCGTTGGCAGGTGCTGGTGGGGTGAGCGTCTGTGCTGATGTCTGCGAAGACGACAGGTTGGTCGGCTTGCGGGTGATGACGTTCTTGGACGGCGGCACGGGGCCGCCGCCGTTCTGCATCTGGCCGAACTGACCCATTTGACCCATTTGACCCATCTGGCCCATCTGAGGATGCGTGGGTGCAGACGACAGCTGGATCGGCGGCGAGTTCTGCTTAGGACCACCGCCGTTCATGTTGTAGCCGTTGCCGTTGTAGCCGTAGGTGTTGGCGCCGGGGGGGTGGGTGCCGCTGCCATAGGGGCCCATCATGTTCATGTTGGCTTTGGAGGGTGACTGGCGGCGCTCAATGGAGCTGTTGTCGCTGCTTGTAGGGTCGGTCAGGTAGCCCGCGGGCTCGCCTGACGTGCCGCTGCCGGAGGCAACGGTCTCGTAGGAGCGGTGGTTGTTGGGGATGGGGTAGATGCCGTTGGGGTTTTGGCCGAGGTGGCCATGGATCATCGGCTCCGATGCGATTCTAGAGTAACGTTGCCGGTTACCATTGCCATTCCCGTAGCCGTTGGGACCGCCAGGGTAGCCGCCGTTGTTGTATCCGCCTTGGTCCTGGTAGCTTTCGCGGCCGTTCAGTCCCTGTCGTAAGTCGTAAGCACTGTTAGATGTCGGCATGTACGACTGGGGGCGACCGTAGTAGCTGTCCTGTGGGTAGCGGGCATTGGGTTGATTTTCTGCGGAGTTAGCGCTCGGTCCTGCGTTCTGCGTTCTGCGTTCTGCGTTCTGCGTTCTGCGTTCTTGAGTAGTAAGGAAAGACGGAGACGACATACGATTGTAGTAGCTGTTTCTGCGTGAGTAGTTGGCGGTGGACTCGTTGTCATTCGGGTAGGAGGATTTCCGGTTGTAGCCGCCGTCAATGGCAGCCTCGAAGCTCCGGATGGTGTCGAGCGGCCGTTCCCACCGATAGCGGGTCGGGTTCGACTTGTCCGGTTCGGCTGGAGGCGTGTTAGTCGAGGTGTTTGCTGGGAGCTATGCCGAGCGCATTGCTGAGGGCTATGCCACGGCGCCAATGCAGGGCGACAGCGCAAGGCAACCCGACCACCACGGAGACAAACCATGGCGACGGCTGGAATTGCGGATTGGGTCACTCACCAATGGGGTTTCCATTGTTGTCTCGGTGGACAATGCTGCGGAGCGGGGCCATGTTAGACTTGCTCGTTGCTGCGACGGTGGCTGCATTCCAAGAGTTGTTAGTTTAGCATGTCGTGAAGGAGCACTCCAAGACAAATGTGCGAAACGGGCGGCAGGGTGGGAGAGGTAGGCAAGGGATGGTGACAAAAATAAGAGAGAGACAAAAAATAGGAAAGACAAAAAGGGAAAAAGAGGACCATGATGAGAATGTGACATGAACAATGCTGTTGTCGTTGTCGGGGAGGAGGATGACAGGCACAAAAAGGGCAGAAAAAGGAATGAGCCAAGAAAATGAAAAAATGAACGGCCCAAAGAGGGCAGAAGGAGGGATCGCAAGTCAGGATCGTGGCTGTCCACGAGAGGGCTTGGACTTACCCGGCTCCGCTTCGATGATGGCCATGGACGGGTCGGCCTTGGAGTGTAGGCGCTTGGCCTCCTTCTCGGCGTGTGTCTCTGGCTCGAGCTTCTGGGATGCGACGCCACCGCTCTTTATCGACTGGGACTTGTCGGAGCGGAAGCTGAAGCTGCGGGACTTGGGGCGGCTGCCGTGGGAGATGGAGGGGCGCGAGGTCTGCGACTCGCGCCTTGACGTCTGTGGTTGGAGGGGGTTGTGCTGTTGCGGCGGCGACTGCTGAAGGTATTGCATCTGCTGCTGCTGGGACTGCGACTGCGACTGCGATAGCTGGACAGGCGGCGGCGGCTGCATGGAGGCACCACCGACCGGCGCCGCGGGCAGCGGGTGGGCATTGTTGTTGTTGTATGTGGCCATCATGGTTGCGACTTGGTTGTGCGGTGAAGCAAGTGCTGTCTGTGTAGTGTCCGTGGCAAACAGAGGACGGAGGAGGTCGACCCCGGGCAGCGCTGGTCGTCGAGACGATCAACGGAACCGTATATGTATATGAGTGCGTATGTTTATGGGGTAGCTGGTATTGTCGGCGTCGATGTCGGCGTCGGCGTCGTCAATGGTTAGGTTCGAAAACGCAAGGTGTCGAGGAGGAGAAGGTGCTCGCCGAGTGGGGAGTCGAACAGATACGGGCGAGGTGCTCCGTGAGAGGGACGGAACGAGACGAGGGTGTACGTCGAGAGGGAATAGGAAGAGAGGTTGTCAACGAAGGAGAATGGAGTAGATTGAAAGACGGACGAGAAAAAACAAAAGTGGTTGGAAACAGGAAAATAGTAACGAGTGGAGGAAGAGAAAGAGCAGAAGAGAGAGACAAGTACGACAAGAAAGACAAAAGACCGAGCGTACCACGTTATCAGTCGTCACTGGAGGGCAATACGTGGTATGGGGGAGGCAAAGTGGTGGACCGGGGTGGTCCTGGTCGACGTGCAAGGTGAAAAAGAAAAAAAGACACCAGAACAACGACCAAAAAAGATGGGACAAGAAACAGAGAGGTGGAACGACAGCGTCCAAGCTCGCCAGTGGAGGAAGGGAAGGAGTGCGTAATAGTGGAGTTTGGGGTTGGAGGTTGGCGTGGATAGGCTTGTTTGCGTACGACCAGGGGTGGTGACAAGGGAAGGAGCCAAGGAGGAGACGAGGCAGGAGCAGGAGGGGGAGCGGTGCAGCAGTGAGAGGGCAGGAGGCAGGAGGCAGAAAGCAGGAGGTAGGAGGCAGGAGGCAATGGGCGCAAAAGTCAGCGAAGCAATACCGGCGGAAGGCAGAACCAGCACCTTGAACGCTTTCTTTCACGAGGAAGCGCCTCGCCGGCGTGTGTCTTCGTAATGATGCGTCTTTGGTCTTTTGTCCGAGTCTTGGTCTGGGTCCTGGGGGGCGTGGGCGTAGTGTGTGGTGTGAGTGGGTTTGTTTGGGTTAGGAGAGAATTATGGGTGATTGTCTGATTGTGCACGTTGTAGGTTGTAGATTGCGTGTGGCTTGCCGAGCTGGTGAAAGGGGCAGACTGCAAAGTAATCTTAACACGGACAGCGCCTGCCCGATGGTGCACCTGCCGAGTCTCGTTCCTTCCCTGTCAACCTTTCCTTACAGTAAGAGGGAAGGCGGAAGGTGCAAGATACGTGGGCGGCCGATGGTTGACGAGATGCTGCAAATGGGATGGTCAGGCGTGGACAGAATGCGAGGAAGGAGCAGGCCAACGAACAACCATAAGCGGACGGGGCAAGAGCGAAGCAATACGGGGTACGAGCAATGGCAACATTGGGGTGGCAGCCAAAAGAAAGAGATGACAGGAATGGCAGCCACACAGGCAGAGCGAACGGACAATGAACGTAATAAAGTGTAAGGCGTGGCTGGGGGCGTGTGCGACGAAAGGGGGGGTGTGCAGACACGATTACGAGAGGCTGCAGAATGCTGCGAGAGGGAATGAGCGACAGTGCATACAGGTGCTGTTAGTGGGTCTCGGTGGACGTCGTGGAGCAAATGCCCGCTGTAAGCTGTCGTAGGAGGCGCACTCAAAATAGAACTGGAACGAAAACAAGTAGCGGGAAAAAGCAAACAAAAAAAAAAAAAAAAAACAAAGTCAATAAACCAAATCTCACCCAACGACGCACCACAGACAGATGCAACAGGCTGCTAGTGCCGATTGCCTCCTGTGCCTGTGCCTGCCGTAGTGCTGCGCCGACGGCTGGAAGCTGAATTGCTATTTGCAGCGACGCAGCGAGCCAGCCTTCTCCAGTGTTTAGCGGCCTTGTCAAGAACCACTAACAGCGACGACGAACCGCTAGCGGCTGCTGCTGGCCATCGGCGACGGGAGCGCCACTTTGCCGCTGACAGCGCTGAGAGGGCCAACTGTCAGCGTAAAATATGTTGTAGTTGGAAAACGAGAAGTGACCTACTCCTGATGTTCATTGGGTAGCGTTTATGGAAAGCCACGCCTACTGCGACGGTCGGCCAGTGGTTTGGAGTACTAGGACATACAGGAGACGAAAGAGTACGATATTCGTTCTGGGTCCAAAGGTTACGGTGGAAAATGGACAGTGGCTTGGGCGTCGAGGTAGTATTTACTGAGAGAGAGCAGTTTTGGAGCTTGACAGGGGCTGACAGGGGCTGAAGCGGTGCTACCCACTGACGTCGACGACACCGAGGCCCTGCTAGCATGCCATTGGGGCGCTGAAGTTGACCACTGGAACAGACGACGGCCACTGCAACTTTTGTATGCACAGAGTAATTACTGCGCAAGTGTGCTGCATTTGGCCTAGCGGCAGGAGGTTTTGGTGGTCGATCGCCCCTCTTTTGGCATCTTTGGGCATTGGCCCTGGTTGTCCGGTTGGCAGTGAGCTTCCAGAGTGGTTGGGGGGAAGAGTCGGAGCTGACGTCAAGGGAGTGCGCTAAGAGCGACTTTTAGCGTGCTCTGTATCGTGGGTTCCCACTGAGCCACTCTATTTTACTGAGGTTGCGTAGCAACTGAATTGTGCGACAAGGCCAATAGCTATCGCATTGCAACAGTAGGTTTTATTTTAATTTAATTTTTTTGTTCGAGCCCACCCTGCAGGCCATCCTGCATCCCAATCGATATCGTTAATTGCAAATTTGCATTTACAACATCACCATGGCCCACATCGGACCTACTTTACCTCGTGCGGAACCGCTGGGCAGCCACGCGGTGGCTGTTTCAGGATTGCCGCCGTCGTTGTGTCGGACATACAGAAAGGCTTCTTTTCCCGTGAAACGAACGCTTCTCGCGACCCCTGTCGTGGGTGGCCGTTTTCCCATTTACTATCGCTCTGCAGTGAGCGTCCGCTTCGACGGATCGAGATGGGCAAGGCAGCACGGACGAGCATATATCCACGGATGAAACATGGAGAGCTCGGAGCCAAAAGCACCGTCGCAAGGAAATAGGCGATGGGCCACGATCGCTGAACAATGCACATCCATAGAGATGTCCATCCAGGCAATCAAGACCAATATGCAGCATAGAATGTGGTGTCGAGGCCTGTCTGGATACGAGATCACCTTTGCCACAACATGCAGACATGCAAGTAAGGCTGTGTGGGTAAAGTACTGGCATAAAGGGCGGAGGGCAATACTGTGTACTTTGTCGCAGCGGGGAAGGTATTCGTCTCCCATCAAATACGAGCCACAAGAGGGATAGCTTTCTCTGCCGCCAAGGGCCGATGGCAGAAAACGGCAACGCTTGCGCTTCCTTTGAAATTTGGGGGGTTAAAGCAGACAGAGGCTCATCTTCATTGGATCGACGACTGTTTTGGCAGAAGGGGTCGTCCGGGAGGCTCGGATTCTTCCAGAGAGGGGAACAGCGAGGAGACAACGAGGGAGCAAGGGAACGTGATCGGCGCCGTTGAGACAACCGCCACGAGCATGATGGGCAGAGCGACCTGGAACGGACGAGGGACGACCAGCACGATAAGAAAAACGAAGCATAGTGAAGACGCAGTATAGTGATAATACTAATTGTAAAACAAGAACTCACCACGGGTGATGTAGATGCAACTCGATCGTTTCCAACCCGTCTTTTATCTGTCGCGAACTGCGCCGTGCCACCCTCTCCTTGCAAGCAGACCTGGCCCAAAGACACATGCTTCGGAAGGGCGGATGATGCCGCTGGATGGACCTGGGACGGGCACAAAATTACGGACTCGAAGGCGAAGCAGATGAAGGGACCCGACCTGGTCGACAACATCATCTCGGAGCAAAAAGACAAGAAAACCGGTGACTTGACTCGGCAGCCAGACATTATTAAAGGCCGCAGAGGAGCACGAAATCTAGTTGTCAAGACCTTGGGTTCTGCTAGATGGCAGTTGTCTGTTTTATTATTTTCGTTCTCTCGCTTTTCCCACCTTTTCATCCGCCCCCCTGTTTCTATTCTCGTACACACTAACACGATCCAACATCATACAATACTGGGACCGACACTAAAAAACCCGGCTTGCATTGGCCCCTCGATTCTCAGTTTTCAATTTTGATTTTCGATTGGCTGTCTGCGCCTGGCCGAGGCCAGCTTTGGCAGCAGAAGCACGCTTGTTTTCGTGCAAGCATTACGAATGTACGGACTATCAGAGTTACATGTAAGATACGAGCAGCACAAAAGCAAGTGGCTGGAAGTCGTACTCTGTCTGTAAAACCGTATTTACTCGCACAAAATGTATGCTGCACCAGATGTCACCATGAACTGGCGTAGCATCAAAAGCAAGCCAGTTTCAAGAGCCACAGTTGTTGCAGCCGTGATACAATTGGCCATGTCAAATCTTGTGACATCCAAGTCGAGAAGGGTTGAGAATGGGTCGACGTTTACCAAAACCACGCAACGCCCTGTTCTACAGTGGCAAATCAGTTGCCCGTCGTAATTACTTCTAGACGCCAGTACTTGTACTTGGTAGACGGCTAGCTGCAGATCGCGGAGGGAGCCAGCACCAACCCTAGAGGTACATTGTACGAAGCATGGAAAGCAGGCTCGCAGGCTCGCAGGTTGGGAACAAGAGCAGACCAGACTATCTTGCCAAGAAACGAGCGAGAGATCCTTAGATCGACCCGAGCGACCTAGTGGCGTTAAAGGCTGAAAAGGCACACTGAATATTCTATAGTATTCATTCATCAAGCCGCGATCGAGACGCTGTTGTCAGGACAGATGGGGCTCCATGTGGGTTTGTGGCATTTGCCGACTATTTTGATAAGACAGGACTACATCTACGCAATCGTGCATGAGAGCGACAAGAGATAAGAGGACTGGAGAATGATGGTACGGCAGTATGTGGTACACCGACAAAACATTTCAAAGGAAAAGGAACGGCGAGGGCTGGCATCTGGCCTCATGGCGTTCTCAGTGGGCCTCTCGCGTTGCTGGATCCTGGTCTGGCCGCCACGGGCTCAGGGCCTCAAGTGCCATGTTGAGAGCATCCGAGGCATCCTTGACCAGGATCGGAAAGTGACCTTGCCCCGATGCTCGCCTCTCGCTTGTCTTCCTTCGCGATCGAGTGGGCCGTCAGCCCCACTGGAAGAGTAACGACAAAAGCGGCTGTCAGTCATCGCCACCAGCCAAAATGTGGGCACAGGGGTTCACCTTTGTTACAGTGCTTGCATATGTCGTAATTTGCAGGACGGGACAAAATATGCGGAGAACAAGATGTCGAAAAAGAGGTACGAATCAGAGCGGGATGAAAACGAGAACAAAGAAACGAGAAGCAACTGAGAAGCAACTGAGAAGCAACGGAGCCACAAACACCAAGCAGGCCATGGAGACACAGAGGTTTCCAAGGCTTCTCGAATGATCGGAAACGATCGTCGGTGTGTCTCCGCTTTCTTTTCGTTTTGTCCTCTTGATTCTTCAATTTTGGTCGTCAAAAGTGGTACAACTGCCGCGTACCTGCGCCGCACTTCACTTTCTTCCATTTTGCCTTTACCAAACTGGGCAGCATGTTTACCCCTTGCGTCGGTTGGTATATGTCGTATATTGGCCGTGCTGCTTGCTTTGGCGAGCCAGAACAGCAATATAGAAACGTCAACGGTCCTTTTTGGCACGACCCCCGCACACAACGAAAAAGAAAGAAGAGAAACCGAAACGACGCAAAACCAGCCAGTCAGCCAACTTGGCACGCGTGGTAGCATTGCCTGCCATTGAACCAATCTGCCAATGCAGGAATCAATGTTCAAGGACCTCACCCCTCCATGACAGCCACATATCCGAGAAGTCTGCCTCTGGGCCGTTTTCTTCCTTTCCGAGATACTGCAACAACATGCAGATAAAGCAACGTAGGTCGCACAGCAGATCTCAACCCTCGAGTGGCTTGTTTGCTGCGCTCGTACTTGCAGGCGGGACCAGCCTTGTTGAAAGCTGGTTGTGAGTCAGCTATAGACTGTCGATGAGAAAACCTGCTATGCCAGGGACAAACCTGTCGAACAAAGGCTCAAGGGTTGAGAGGCTGCTGGGCTGCACGCTACAGCTGCTTCTCTAAACTAACCCCTGTCGATGCATCTTTCCATTTCCCTTCCTTCCTTCTTGATCGTCAAGTTTTACCTGTTTTTTACTGTTCTGGGAGTCTGGACACGAACAGACCGCCAACTGGTTATTTGAAGCCTGGCTCGCCTGGATATCCTGAAACCTGGAATCTGAACCGACTCCCTGGAACCTGAACCTACCTGAACTCGTGAACTGAGAGTGATGTCTCTCCAGCTCACTTGCCGGGTTTCTAATCGTCTGCCTCTCCGCTCTCGTGTTGATTCTGATTTGTCCATTGGCAACCACCGCCAAGTGTTGCACTTGTATGACGTACGGTGTATAAAGGCACATCAAACGTCCTGAGTGCAAAAAAACAATTAATTGCACACAGACTCGGGGCACTCAGGCACTCTCGCACTCTCGCACTGCATACGTTGCATACCGCTCACGCTCCCTCTTCCCAACAGTCATCCGTCTTGACCGCTGCCTGTGCGCTTTGCCAACTTTTTGTCGGTATTGTTGGGATCCCGACTCCACTCCAACGCCACTGCCAAAAGCTGCAGCTACAGTCAGCGAATGCAAACAAGAGGCCCTGAGGCCTTAGTGGTCTAGATCACAGCAAGACTCAAAATGGAGTATTCCCCCGGGCGTACGGCCAATGTTGCCGGTCCCAATTGTCGCCCAGCGACGGCTGCAACTTACGTGTATCTACTATTTAGTTGTCTTCTTTCTGACGTGGGAGGTGGTTTTCTCTCGGGGCTCCAGCAGTAGACGTAGATCTGTTTCCAATACTGGTGGCGCCCGAGTAAATGGTTGCTGATTAGGATTCTGAAACCCAGAGACCCTGGAGACAAAGAAAACGAACGACGAGAGACGAGAAAACCGGGAACGTCTGGCCAGGGCTGACGATGCGCGATAACTTGCCGGGAGCGACTGGCCTTTCTTTCTTTCTTTCTTTTTTTTTGTTTTTTGTTTTTGGAGGCTCGAGTCCATCAGCTGCACCTCTCGGGGCGAATGTTTTTTGCTCCAATTACAAGGCCAAGCTGGGACAGGGACAGGCTTGCGACCCTCGTAGGTGAAGGCTATTTATACGCCGTATGTGATGTCGTGGTCCAGCGTCATACGCACATGGGAGTGTACTCGAAACGATGTTTCTACCATAAATAGACTACCAGACTACCTGGTCCGAATGACTTGTAAAACAGACGGTTGGTGTCTGCATCGCCGGGGTGCTCCTTCCCCGGACGATGAAATGTAAATGCAACCTCCAAGGAAGGCGCGGGAGGACGTCTCATATGGTGTAGGGGAAGGAACGATTGGCCTTGACGTTGCTATCCTGCGACAGGCCACCCTGCACCTGCCCCGGATATTCGGACATGGAAGAGGCCTGGAGACACTCGTCGCAAGACGCTCTGGTGCATGCAAAACAGACGACACGTGGATTTGATATTTGTGCGACAGGAGCAGTACGTCGTAAACAGACGGAAATTGACACGACGCCCTGGACGAAACAGTGGCCCGGTATCAAACGAACATTGCAGCAGCTTCGCAAAACGAACAAAGTACACGAACATGCCATTAAGACGTGAAAAGTGCCAAAGAGGATGAGCGATCTGCCATCTGTCACCAACGAGATGCCGACGCCGAGAACCAAGACGTGAGGTGTCGTCGGAAATGGGGCGCGGCTGGACCAAAATGCCGATCGTGACAAGAGACCTGCACACGGGCCTGTCCTGCCAGCGCAAAGATACGGTGAACCGTGCATGTTCGGCAAAGAAAAGGGTAGGCTAGAGAAAAAGAAAAGAAAAGAAAGAAAGACGAAGCTCGATCTAGTATGAACCCACAAGACGACGTGTTCGACACAGACACGACAGGTGATCCCGTCTCGAATGAAGCTTTTTTCATGTTGGGACGAGCAAAGAGCCAAAACGGCATGGCGGCAGGCCCAAAGTAGATGCCAGCACAAACTTGTAATCTCCATTGTTAAATTGAGTGCATGTCGAGCTGAAAAATAGACGCGCGCACGTTACGCGAAAGGAAGCGATTGACTATGGATACGAAAAAGGGGGTCAGTCTCGTCTGGGCATCGTACCTCTGGGCATTGTGCCATGGCCTCCGTGATAGGAATCAACCTGCGATGCATCCCCTTTTCACCTGCATACGGTAAGGGGCCAGACAGCGCCCCCAAGGCGTATGGTGTAAATGAGATGTTCCCGATGCCGTAGCATCTGTACAGCTTCACGCTTCACAGGCGCTGCAGGACATGCACTGCTGTTTACCGTTGCGATGCTGGTTTCGTGCTGTTTGTGTCGCGGGCAACGGGCTTCAAGTGCTTTTTGGATTTAGATTAGGTTCTGTGAGTGTGCAACAGCAAGACGCACTCAACGAACTAGAGCACAGCATTACAACACATCTGCTGTGTTCATACCACGAGATGCGCATTCAGGAGGCTTTGTGCCGTAGCTACTATCGACCGACATCCTCTGTTGACGTTCAAGGTGCATCAAAAGGAGCCACAGCAGGATACAAGTGTAGATGCATCAGGGAATTGTTGCGCGTGTCGCACTTACCATGTCATCTTTACTGATCCTATATTTGTAGACAGAAACTGTAAACGGCCCTCGACGGGTGACGGCAGCACTCTTGTTGCAGCTGCACTCGTATAAATATAGACACAGGACCTTGACACAACTTGGTATGTTCTCGACGTTTGAAGTAAAGAAGGGAAATAGTTCCAAGTCGCATACCAAGGAAATTGAATTCACGCCGCATGGTGTTGTCGACACCCGGGATCGCCGGCCTCGGCGTTGGTTGAATGATGGCCGGACTCATTGGTGTATCGTCGGCCGACGGCAACACATGTCGAGGCAGTCGCACGGCTCTGTATTTACTCCATTAATAGTTTACGACGGGACAAGATATGTTCGAATAGAAAAGCAGCAACTGCACTGCACAGGTTTCATTCTGCAAGTAAAGAGAGGAGTTTGCCAAATTCGGACTTCGACGAAGTCAAAAACAAAATAGAACGATAAAGAAACATCCATAAAGGAATGGCAGGGAAGGAAGTTACAAATTCAGCCTGCGTCCGTACACACTACCTGCCAATCTGCACCCCTTTCCGGTGAACAAAATCCAAACTCAAATAGTCTGCCTTCTTGTCTTTGCCAGCCAACCTAATGATGCTAGATATCGCGCACAAGCCGGGCACCGACCCAGGCGTACTGATAGTTGCGCTGGTACCAGTTGACACTGCGGTTCTGTTAGCAGTGGCTCGGCAAAAGAGAATAGCAAGAGACGGTGTGAAGAGCGACTTACAAAGACTTGCGGCCCGAGATGCGCGGGTGCGTAGCCCAGGATCCGCCCAGGACAATGTTGTGCTTCTCGTCGAAAAAGTCCGCCGTGTACCCCGGGTACAGCTGCATCGGCTCGAAACCGTCATGACGCCGCAGCGGCGAACTCGTCCACTCCCACACGCCGCCCATCTCGGCCTGACCCGCCAGTCGGTTGCCGTGCGCTGTCACGGCCACGGGGTGCCAGTGCTGAAAGCCTACATTGGCACCGTCCAGGTCAACAAACAAGTTGTCGCCCTGCCCGGCCGAGCTGCCGGCTACGTCCGCGGCCTCCGGGGGTGTCTCTTCCACGCCGTCATTGGACAGATGGCCGTTGACTGCTGGAAGCGTCTTGCCGAGCTTCTTGTCGGCGCCCTGCTTCTGCCGTGAAAGGTCCACGTGCTGGTAAATGCTGCGTGCTTCTTCGAACGTCGGGATGCGGCCACCCATCCACGATGCGCAACCCTTGAGCTCGTCGTATGAGGCAAACACAGGCCAGTCTAGCGCGTACCCAAGAGGCACGAGGCCGTACACTGTGCGCACCATTTTACCCTTCAGGAACGACGAGGGAAGCGTCTTGGAGTCACCGTTGGCGTGCCCGTTAGTCGTATGGCCATTTGCATGTCCGTGTGAAACCCCATTCGATAGTCCATTGGCATGACTCTCCGTGTGCTCGCTAACATCGGACCACGAGACAGGATTCTTGTCGACGGAGTTGTTGTACATGTAAAGCGCGTACTAGAGTTCTCTGTTAGAGCCGGTCGATGCATACCGCTAGTTTCTTGATATGTCACCCTTACCTCTTCGTTGGTGATAGGCCGCCCCTGAGCCTGGAAGGCATGAACGTGCACTGCACGGGCTGGCTTCTCGTTGTCCCTGCCGTCACATTAATATTTTCTGCCGCGTACCGAATCATTCTTTCGTCGCCATACGTACCATCCAAAGTTGCGCGTCAGGTCGGTCCCATTGTCGGGGTCGTCAATGCCGATCACCACGTCTTGGGCAGGAATATCGAACCACTGGTTCTCGACACGGGCTGCCCGCGCCTTGGCAGCCAGCTTCGCAAAGTCCGGCTTCGGCACGTCCGGTGGAGGGAGGGTCTTATCGCTCTGCAGCATCATGTAGAGCAGTGTCTCAAGGTGCATGAGCTCGTGCTCAAACCCGACCCAGATGGCTTGGGCCACAGGCCGGGTTACCGGTGCGTGGCTTTCCGTCTGGGATGTACTGCCGACGTTGGCTGCATAAAATGCCCGGATCCGTTCGCGGACCCGCTTCTGGTAGCCCAGGATCTCATCGAGCGCAGGCCACTCGTCAGGGATTTCTGAATGGTCGTGACAGAGCTCCGGGTTGTCGACATCCGGGTCGATGCCGCGCTCAAAGATGCTAGTGTAGTAGGCCGGTTCGGTCGCGGCTTCGCCCGTCGTCTTGCACAGCTGGATGTCGAGGAAGGTCGGAATGTGACCCAGATAAAAGATACAAGCATTTCTTAGTTTGATCGGCTTATCCAGGAGCTCGTCGTTGGGAAGCATCTTGAGAGTCACAGTGTCCCAAGTCTCCCAAACAGCCTCCCAGTCTTTTACCGACGGGAGGATCGACTTTGCGTAGACGGAGGGGAGTAGACTGAAAGGCATCTTTGGCTTTGTGAGGAGGTGGAGTCCTGGAGGTAAAGACAAAGAAATCAACATTAGTATTGACCGGTGGTATGGAGATGAGCTGTATTGCAAGGTTGCGCAAGACAAGTGATGACAGTATTATAAAAAGAAGCTTTAAGCCAGGGAATATGGAAGGCTGGCCGACTCTTGCTATCGCTGCTCTGGATGTCGAGCTTGGTTGAGCCAAATGCCGGGCAACTAACACCAGCTGGCGTGAGGCTAGCATCGGCCAGCGTTGTAGCGATGGCCGCCATCAGGTAATTTGAACAATTCCCGGTGTCATGACAAAAAGTAAGGCGGAAAATGTTGGCCAAGAAAAACAGAGCTTGTGCATAAGTTCGAGTGGAAGGACAAAAATACTCCACTTCATAAGAAGAGGTCACAAAAAACGCCACCACACATGAAGTGAGGCGGCTACTGAAATGGGAAGAAAACAAGAAGGTGCGTTGCAACCCCCGCAATATGACAAGGGAGAATCCCGACATAACACGAGACAAAAAGTAATGGTGAAGGAGAGGGTTGCATCATGAGGAGCAGGAACTTGTGTACGCAGGACAAAGTATGTCAAGTGTCGCTTCTGTATTATTGTTCTGCATGGGATCCACTGAACACCCAAGTCACACGGCCAGTCGGAGACGAGGGGGCGGCTGCTGAACGAGGGATGGCGAAAGCGATAGCGTGGGGTACTGCAGAAACGGTGTGGGAGGTTTGTGCATAGGAGAGGCAGAGCCCACGGAAGAGAGGAAACGGTGTAAGTGGAATCTTGTGCAGCCGAGTGAGATTGTGGCACGGATTTTGTGTATCTCGTAAAGCAGTTGGGAGAGAGGACACATATGATGAAGTGATCGAGACAAAACAGAAAACACAGAGACAGACGTCAAGGAACACAAAAACCAAGCAATGGCAGAAACAGAAAGAAAAATAGCTTTATCGTTTCTTAGCCTGTACGCACCGTGCTCCTTGCTGTCATTCTGCCATTTGTAGGTCTCGGTCAGGCCGGCGGAGCGCCAGAGGTAGTTGGCCTCGGCCGGCGAGTACTTGACGCTCTGTTCAACCTGAACGCGTTCGTGCGGTTGGATGCGCTCGCCGAGAACCTCAACGTCCCGAACCGGGGCGTAAAAGGCCTGGTGCCGGCCGCCGTCAATGTCGTGCACATATTCGCCGATGACGCGCCAATCGTCCAGCTGGAATACGTCCTTGCCTAGGATGCGGTTGGCATTGATGAGGCCGTTGAGGACGAATCTGATTGTGAGGTTAGTGATAGGTTGAAACAAAAAGGACGAGAAAAGGGGGGGAGAAAAGAAAACGTAAACAGGAGGGAGCTGAGAAAGACATAAAAGGTATGAGCATACCTATGTGTGAGTCCTTCCTTGTCTGGTTCGGTCACAATGTCAGTATTTCCATTCATGACAGGAACAATGGAGGGAAGCCGTGAGGGACGTAATTACCATTGTAAGCGTGGCTGCACAATTGTCAGTAACTGCATGTACAAATTCCATACCAAAAGACCCCCCAAAAAGTAACTTACTACACCTTGTCGGCGTCGACGCAGCCGTCAAGGCCGACCAGGATCGAGTCGCCCGGATGCAGGACGTCAGAGAAGCCGCGCAAGAAATCAGCGGCGTCGTCGCGGTGGAAGTTGCCGATGCTGGAGCCCAGAGTCACGATGCACTTTTGGCGATGCAGGATGGCAGGCGTTTTGAGCCACTCCCGGCCGTCGTCGTAGGTGCCAAGCAGGCCGAAGCAGCGGACGTTTTCATAGCGCGGCAGCTGGGAGAGTGTGCGCTGGAGCTCCTGCAGAGAGAGATCGAGGGCGTAGTACTCGACGCGCTTGCCAGACGTCTCGAGAGCTTGGAGGAGCAAGTTGATCTTACGGAGATTGCTACAAGAAAGGAGGAAAGAATTAGCAAAGCGTCAAACAAAAAGGAAACGGAGAATGGGAGAAGAGAGAAAGGAGAAGGGAAAACTCACCCGCTGCCAAGCTCAATGATCATAGAGTCCTGGGGAATGAGCTCTGCAATCTCAGCCGCGGCGGCCGTGAGCACGTCGATTTCATTGTTGGTCAGGTAGTACTCCTCGAGGTACGTGATCTAAGCAGTGTCAGACGGGGGACCGAAATAAAAAATAAAATGAAATTTTGTTACAAAAACACAAGCAGATGCAGGGAGCAGGTAAGAGCAGCAGGGACACGGAATGCTTGGCAGCCGGTATGTCCTATTGGCTATTCGAGCAAGGCAGCACAAGTGGCCAGAAAGGAGGGTGTGACGGGGGACGAGAGCAAGCTCAGCCGCAACACTGCACCGAACAGGATTGCAGGGCATGCTCATTGGCACGGCTGCACTGGTGCCTGCCATTTCCTGGGGTACGGAAGACGACATCCAAGCCGTGAATGCAGGGCCTTGAAAGGTATCCCAAAAAAAAAATGCTCCCCAAATACGGGAGCGCAAGCAAGAGGTCTCAATTCAAGACAAAAAAGCAGAGACTCAACGAGGACGGGGGATGTGAAAGGACAACGTACGTTTTCAAACAGCTGAAGGCCGGCTTCATCATAGAGAAGCAGGGTCGGCATTGTACGTGGGCCCTTCTTGGCGCAGAACTGGGAGACGATCTCGTCGCGGAGATTCATCTCAACGGAAGCCTGGCGGATGTCGATAATGTTGTGGCTGGCGCCGGCCGGCTTGGAATCGGCAGTGGTCGATGCCGCCATCGTCTTTGCCGGAGCCGTCTTTTGCGTGGTGCTGGCAGCACCGCCGTGCGGCTCTAGAAGCTCTGCCGAGGGAGACATTGTATGTCTTTCAGGGGTCCGCGTGATGATGGAGAGGGCACAGAACGTCAAGAAAGGTAGAGTTATGTGGATAGATGGGCACCTGAGAGGCAGCAAAATCCAACTGGACCAGGGACGTGTCCTGGGCGTTTGTCTTTATATAGAATTCAGTGAGACGAGGATGACAGTCAGGTTGGAAGCAAGGAGCATATAAAAGACGTTTGCTTGTTTCTAGAAGGACAGCTCAAGAAAAGATACAAAATACAAGTAGAGGAGACTAAATACAAGTGCAGGATTAAAATCCAATATGTACGTAGCTAGAGGCAGGCTATTTGTTGTAGTGGTAAGCGGCCGGCCGGGGTACATGCCTCCATGTCAAAACGGATCAAAGACCGAAAGAAACGGACGGATAACGGAGGCATATGCCGTGGGTCTGTAGTCTGCGAATCTTTGGCGTTCAGTCCTCTTTTGCATACACAGGTGGCTGAACGGTTGGAAGCTACGCCAATGCTGAATAAATGGTGTGCAACGTCACTCATACCTGTGCATGGGGTGGCGGAAATGCAGAGTTGCTGGGGTAAGCTCCCCGAAAATGTTGTATACCAAGGACCAGTGAGGCACTCAAGCCCTGGTAGGTGTATATTGACATTCGTGTCTGTAAGTAAGATACATCAGCATAACAAAAAGAAACGGAAGCCACTCCGGGCTTCAGGGCAAGCTGTCTCAAGGTGGCCTTTCCTCGTAATGCGTCGCTAGTAGGATGCAGGTCACTTCGCTTGCATCCATAGACTTAGGGCGAGGGGGTAGTAGGTGCAGAGGAGGGGAGAGGTAACAGTCCAGAAAGTTAAAGGAGCAAATGGGGACAATACTTGGCGGCAGATCTTTGTCCGTTTTGCAGTCGATCTCCGTTGCCAGTTTTATCGATTGCGTGCATCGTTCTTTCTTTGTCCCCCGTCTTTTGCCTTTCCCTTGTTCGTTCTTTCCCTTGCACACCCCCGGTGACAAAGCATAACTGGAGAGTCATGCACTAGCTCCGACAAGCTCCAAGCTCCAAGCTCTGGCTGCATGTTCCGCGGATCGTTCGGTGGTCTCGGACAGGGAAGGAGCGACTTGGGGAATGTCAATCTGGACGTTGACGGAGCATTCAATGGCTCCGCTGGCCGGCTGGTCTCTGCTCTTTTCTGCTTGGCACTTGTCGTGTTTGCACGGCCTCTCGACTCGGTACATTGCATGAGCTATGCGTTTCACGAGGGGAGTTCGTGAAAAGTATACAATGCACCACATATTGTCTTACAGTTGACGGGCTCTCTGATGCGTCTTCTGATCCGTAAGCATGCCATTGACGGCAAGAGCGACGGGGCAGCCACCGCCGGTTGTGTCCATCGACGACCGAGAAAGGAAAGAATCGAAGCGAAGGATAGAAGCATTTCTCAGGGTAGGTACGATGGGTTTGGAGGGCAAGGTCATCACTATAGCCGAAAAGGGAAGTTCACCGGACGCATTTTCTTTCCAATTTTCCATCGCCTTATCAAAGCATTCCTATTTACTCACATCCAGCTCTTCCCATTTTTTTCCCTTGCCACGAGATATTGTACGCCACCCTCTCTCGATATACGATACTCGCAGGTTGATTTCTCACGATTTGCTCTGTTGAATAAGCCGCTCTCGGGCGGGAGAGATGCAAACTCGAGCGAGCGAAAAAAGAAGCCGGGAACAAGGGGGGACCGTTCCATCGAATGTCGAATGCATTACGTGTAAAAATGCAGGTCGTGACACTGCAGCCTCTCTCTCCTCATTCGCCCATGTGGCTTGCCTCGTTGCCGCGACTACTTTATTTCTTCCACGATCCGCATCGTTGACGTTGATTGTCCGAGTAATCTGATATTGTAATACAGATTCCCAAGGAAGGCGCAGACCCAAAAGAAGTGAAAACGTGTTGGAGACCCCTGCAACTCGAGGTGGGGTTGTGCCTTGCCTTTCGGGGCGCCTTCCAACTTCGCTCCAGCTGCCCGCCACCATCCTCCGATGCGCTGTGGCCCTTGCTGAAGCTTCTGAAGCGCCTGAAGGCCCCTGGCAGCCTGGCTCCAGCGACCTACACCCGCTAAGTCGTATCTAGACATCAATACGTCACAGAACGTGAGATTTTCGTCTCACTTCCACTGGGCTTCCTTGAAGAAGACCACAACACAAGACAAAGAACATCCCAAGCAACAAACGGCTGCCAAGCCACATCAGCCGCCCAGGACAAACTAGCTTTTAGACTCAGACCAGCAAGACACCGTTTTCTCAAATTGGCAACTCGGTTCGCTGTGCGTTAAGCTGTCAAGTGTATCCCGAGCGACGAGAAACGGCGGAACTCCTAGGTTGCCGTATTTCGTCCGCGGGGCATGTCATATACTTGCTTATTAAACAAGAAAAGAAATCCTGCAGCCTTGCCGTGAGGAATCTCAACTTCCCAACTGAGCTTCGCCCTTCGTCCGATGCTCCACGGCAACGGCGGTCGACGTCTCCAACGTCGTTAGGGGATAGCCTGGAACACAAAACGAGTAAGTTTCAACGAGGCAAACGCGGCTGTGACGAAACGGAGGCGGCCTTGTCCAAAGACAACAAAAACGGCCTGCACACCCTCTAAAGCCACACTCCCTCCCTCCCGTTCCTCCACGACGTACACAATACAATGCAGCCAGCTGTGGGGTGCAGGCGCAGGTGCAACAGATGTTGACCGCATCCTGCGGGACTTTGTTCTACGTCTTTGCTGTTCCCTGTTCTGCCCTGCAGGACGCAAGAGCCAGAGCAGACGCAAAAAAGTAACTGGTGGATGTTAGATTCACTCTTGCCAGATGCTCAACCCATATGTTTTGTATATCGCAGCTTGCTGGCTGTTGCCTCGGTTGTTTCACTTCTTGTAGGCGTGGTCAGATAGTCTGCCGTGCAGTTTCTCCCTACAGCGTCCATTGCGTGTGAGCTTTGCAAACGCATTTGAAAATCGCTGTGCTCAATTCAGGGGCAGCTCTCATGTCTTCGTTTTGACCTGTTTTGTTTCCCACAGGCCCCCCTCTTCTCTCCGCATTCAAGTTAGATAATGGTATTGACTGTGATTTGCTTGGGGAGTCGGGGGCCAAAGTGGACAAACGCAAGCGGCGTTTTCTGGGCGTGGGATGCACGCTGCAAAATTTAAATAGAAAAAGAGGACCGGACAGCACGAAAAGCCGAATTTGAGAAACGTCCGATCCAGGGCACATGATGTCCTCACAAGGCCAAAAAAGGGCCTGTGGGAGAATGCGGCACACGGAGCGGAGCACGACGGGCCTTTGCCAGTTCGTTAGCTCTTAAGAACAGAGGCTGGGTATCAACAGAAAACAGACAACCAATACACCTGGCAGCAAGACAGAAAACAAGCAACCAGGTGCGCAGATACTCAGACGGTTCGTTTTGCTTCTCGAATCTGCTGCGTAGTGACAGTGCTTGTGTCTACACTTGTCTCTTGTCGACTTTTATTGACGGTCAGGTCGGCCTCGCCATCCGCAGTTATCGCAAGGGCCCCTCCCAGCCAGGGACGACGGACGAACCCCCCACACGCAAATAAACCGGCGTTGAAGCGGCAACACGGGCGAGACAAGAACGGCCGACAACTGACGAGACGGAGAAGGAGACAAATGAGGAGTTAAGGTGAGCAAAAGTGAAGAAAAGTTTGAGGAACAAGGAAATGTCTTGCAAGGAGAGCATTGAAGAACGAAATGGAACAAGAAAAAAGGGCGAAAAGGAAGACTGGAGACCCTTGGTTTGTTTTCAGGGCACGTAATTACATGCCACGCCTTTTTTCCGCTCGTTGACATGCCCGGTCTGAAGCGAACGAATGAGCAGCTCAACAGCTTTTGGATCATGTTGCCCTTGACAAGACTGGCTCGAGCTGAACGATTGCGTATCCTCTCAGCCACTCTACTCAGTGAGCGTGCCATATACTGGGCTTTTTTCTGCCCCCTCAACAAACCCCAACGCCCAACACAAGCTTCCTGTGGAAATCTCGAAGACTCGAGAAATAGTAATCAAGCCGGCCAAGGCGTTGGGGTATCGAGTTGTTGACTCGGAAGGAGAGCCAAAGAAGAGGAAGCCAAACGAGAAGACACGAAGACAGCTGCAAGCAGTTTGATGTGGACAGCCTTGCAAAGCTATGAATAAAGGAGAATTAGGCCGGCATCCCCAAAAACGGAGAAATTGAGACCAGGCGAGAGCTGTCGGGGAGGTTCGCTAATAGAGGCATGGCAAGGCGAAATTTCCCGTTCCTGAAGTGGCTTGGAAGAAAATTCACAGCCAGCCAGCGTGACCGAACAGCCACCGTGCACTGCTGCACCAAAAGTATTTGAGGTGCACAAGTGAGTCACCTGATTACGTGTTATTCGCGTGTCTTGGAAAGGGCGCGTTGAGTGGCAAAAGACGGGGAAGGTGCTGCTGGCTTGGCAAGAGGGGAACACGAATTAACGACAGTACGGGAAGGCGGGGTGCTGACGTGAATCGGTGAACTGGAAGCGGCAACAGGCACCGAGGCTGTGTCAGCCCGTTTCCCGGTGACAGAAGGTACGACCGCGTTGGTGCCAAGCAGGTCACAGCCGCAGCCGAAACAAGAAGCTACGATCTAGGCCACAATGCATTGTGCTCCGCGGAGACAGGGACAGACAAAAGAGGCAGTTGCAGCGGGGGGGACTTGGCC